CTGGGAGTGGGGTTCCTAATTCACAGAAACATAGCTGGCAACATAGAGGAATACTATAGCATTAATGAAAGAGTGTAGGTATTGTAATTAAACTGAATAAAAGATACAAGATGAAGGTAGTACAGGCTTACGCGCCTACATCCAGCCATGATGACGCTTCAGTTGAAAGCTTCTATGAAGACGTGGAATCGGTAATGAGTAAGGTAAAAACACAATATACTATAGTGATGGGCGACTTTAATGCAAAGGTAGGGAAGAAGCAGGCTGGAGACCAGGCAGTAGGAGATTATGGCATCGGTACTAGAAACGCCAGAGGAGAGCTACTAGTAGAATTCGCAGAACGCAATAATTTACGGATTTTGAATACCTTCTACCGAAAACGAGAAAACCGCAAGTGGACATGGAAGAGCCCTAATGGCGAAAATAAAAAAGAAATAGACTTTTTATGAGTGCACACCCTGGAATCGTGCAGGATGTGGAAGTGATTGGCAAGGTACGATGCAGTGACCATAGAATGGTACGGTTTCGAATTCGCCTAGACTTGAAGAAGGAACGACAGAAACTGATACGACAGAAACTGATCAATGAGCTAGCACTGAGAGGGAAAGTACAGGAATTCAGAGTGTCACTGCAGAACAGGTACTCTGCTCTTAGTGAGGAAACCAACCTTAGCGTAGATACAATGAATGATAATCTGACGAGTATCATTACGGAGTGTGCAGTGGAAGTTGGAGGCAGGGTAGTTAGACAGGACACTGGCAAGCTTTCCCAGGAAACGAAGAACCTAATTAAGAAGCGTCAAAGTATGAAAGTGTCAAGTACAACAGACAAAATAGAACTGGCAGAGCTTTCAAGTTGATTAATAGGCGTAAAGTATGCGATGTAAGAAGGTATAACATGGAGAAAATTGAACACGCTCTGAAAAACGGAGGAAGTGTCAAAGCATTGAAGAGGAAACTTGGGATAGGCAAAAGTCGGATGTATGCACTAAGGGACAAAGAAGGGAAAATAACTACCAATATGGATAGGATAGTTAAAATAGCGGAGGAGTTTTACAGTGATCTGTACAGTAGCCGAGACAACCACGACCTTAATACTATAAGAACTAGCAGTAACCCAGATTACACCCCACCAGTAATGATAGAAGAAGTCAGAAAAGCTTTGGAGAGCATGCAAAGGGGCAAAGCTGCTGGTGAGGATCAGGTAACATCAGATCTGCTGAAAGATGGGGGACAGATTGTGTTAGGAAAACTAGCCACCCTGTTTACGAGGTGTCTCCTGACGGGAAGAGTACCAGAGTCTTGGAAGAACGCTAACATCATCTTAATACATAAGAAAGGAGATGACAAGGACTTGAAGAATTACAGGCCGATCAGCTTGCTCTCTGTAGTATACAAGCTATTTACAAAGGTAATTGCTAACAGAGTAAAGAAAACATTAGAATTCAATCAACCAAAGGAACAAGCAGGATTTCGAACAGGCTACTCAACAATTGACCACATTCATACTATCAATCAGGTAATAGAGAAATGCTCAGAGTACAAACCACTATACATAGCCTTCATAGATTACGAGAAGGCGTTTGATTCAGTAGAAATATCAGTCGTCATGCAAACACTGCGGAATCAGGGCGTAGATGAAGTATATATAAACATCCTGGAAGAAATCTACAGGGGATCAACTGCTACCATAGTGCTTCATAAAGAAAGCAACAGAATACCAATCAAGAAGGGTGTAAGGCAGGGGGACACAATTTCCCCAATGCTATTTACCGCGTGCTTACAGGAGGTTTTCAAAAGCCTAGTATGGGAACAGTTAGGGATAAGAGTCAATGGAGAATACCTTAGTAACCTGCGCTTCGCCGATGACATTGCATTGCTGAGTAACTCGGGGGACGAATTGCAACTCATGATTACGGAGTTAGACAAGGAGAGCAGAAAGGTGGGTCTTAAAATTAATCTGCAGAAAACGAAAGTAATGTACAACAACCTCGGCAAGGAGCAGCGCTTCGAGATAGGTAATAGTGCACTTGAAGTTGTAAAAGACTATGTCTACTTAGGGCAGGTAATAACCGCAGAGCCGAACCACGAGATTGAAGTAACTAGAAGAATAAGAATGGGGTGGAGCACATTCGGCAAGCACTCTCAAATTATGACAGGTAGATTGCCACTATCCCTCAAGAGGAAGGTATATAACAGCTGTATCTTGCCGGTACTTAGCTACGGAGCAGAAACCTGGAGACTTACAAAGAGGGTTCAGCTTAAATTGAGGACGACGCAGCGAGCAATGGAAAGAAAAATGGTAGGTGTAACCTTAAGAGACAAGAAGAGAGCAGAGTGGATTAGGGAACAAACGGGGGTTAAGGATATCATAGCTGAAATCAAGAAGAAGAAATGGACATGGGCAGGGCATGTAGCGCGTAGACAGGACAACCGCTGGTCATTAAGGGTAACTGATTGGATTCCCAGAGAAGGGAAGCGGGTTAGGGGGAGACAGAAGGTTAGGTGGGCCGATGAGATTAAGAAGTTTGCGGGTATGAATTGGCAGCAGCAAGCACAGGACCGGGTTAACTGGCGGAACATGGGAGAGGCCTTTGTCCTGCAGTGGACGTAGTCAGGCTGATGATGATGATGATAGAAAGGCATGGTGGTTGAGTGGTTGTAGCGTTGTAAGTAAAGTAGATCCTCCGTGAGCAGTCACAACGTGGTTTATTTCGACGTTTCAGCCAGAGTCTGGCTGAAACATCGAAATAAACCACGTTTGGCTGAAACGTCGAAATAAACCACGTTGTGAGTGCTCACGGAGGATCTACTTGACTATGTATATATATATATATATATATATATATATATATATATATATACACACATATATATACAGGGGATCAACTGCTACCATATATATATATATAAGGGAAAGAAGTGTATACCTAAGGGCTCGTTTTTCCGTGTTTTAACACAATATTAATGAGATCTAACAGACAGTAATGCCAAGGAATGTACAGGGGTAACGGCTGGTTATTTTTTCATCCACTTTTCTTTCTTCTTATTTACATTCAATTGGTTCTAATAACTTCCCCTGTACATTCCTTGGCATTACTGTCCGTTAGATCTCATATATATATATATATATATATATATATATATATATATATATATATATATATATATATATATATATATATAGGTATGGGATATTGCACAACGGGAGCGTTGTCAACAAGGATAAATATATTTATTTCCCAACAGTTTCGGGAGGGGCATGAATTTCCAAACTTCGTTGCTGCCGCGTTCCTCTCGCCTTGAAACATGTTGGCGAGAGTGAGAGGGAACTGAGAAAAAAAAGGGGGGGGGGATAGAAAAAAAAAGAAAAAGAAAGAAAAGAAAGAAAGTAAAAAAGAGGAAGAACCACTGTCAACACTGAGAACGAAACCAACTGTCCGTGTACGTCCACCTACGTTTCTTATCACGTGCTGTTCAGTTCTCGACGTGTGTCGGGCCACCCAAGATTGTCGCCAAGATATATATATATATATATATATATATATATATATAAATTCCAATTCATTTCTTTGAATAGGGACTGAGTTTGAGCTGAGCGGAGTGCATTGAACCCTTACAGGACCATTACCGTGAGGTGAGGTTACTTTGCGACATATGCTCGGGTTTTTGCATTTTAAATCTCACGGCATGACCAGGCGCCGCTATAAGCCACCCATGAAGCTCGCTTGACATGCCAAGCCAGCTAGCGGAAGCCGGCTGAAGTTGCCACGCTCGGGAGCCACTTTAGATGCAGACATGTTGAATGGTGTTTTCGCGCATATTCTTGACACCGTAAACATTGTAAACACTGCTCGACCTGTCCCCACGAGATAAACCACGAAGACTTGATTGTTATTATGTAGGCTAAAATAAACTGTAGTATAAATTTCATGAAGTCATGCCTGTTTAAGGTTAAAGAAAGGAAAGTGAAATGTTGATACTTCGTGGGGTAACTTTATGACATGATGTAGAAGCGAGCAAGACTGGAAAATCGACAATCAGACAGAAGGGCAGCTCTTCCAGTATGAGAGCTAGACGACTTAGAAATAGGTCTCCTCTTTTGGACAGCAGTGCAGAAGAAAGCAGCAACAGCAAATCGTCTTCACATGGTCAGCACTGTGACAACAAAAGGTGGCCGGAAGGAGATACAAGTGATTCCGGAAGTCTTTGCAACCTATCCGAAATGGACACTCGTACCCCTTCCATGACACCAAATACTAGCAACGTCCTTAGTATCTGTGGTATAGGTTCCGGAGAACAAACTTTCAAGAAGGATGACTTCATCATAGTAAACTTCAGACAACTTTACCCGAGGAGAGTGATGGCAATCAGACATGAGGGGTACATACGAAAGAATTGGAAGTGGCCTTACCGCGAAGATGCAATTTTGTACACGAAGAAGATATTCTGTAAACAATTGAATCCCCTAGGCCAGTAGGCACATGGCGCATCTTTGAGGTAAAAGACGTTGATTGAGGAGGTACATGTGTGAATAAGTTTTCATACAATTGTAACATTTCCAGAGCATAAACCCATTGTAGATAACTCAAATAAACTTTTAGTCAGGTTAACTTTGTGCTAGCCTTTTCTTCCCAATCATTTTCAGGTGAAAACAACGTTGTCACAAACTTACCCCACACGATGGGGCAGCATTGTGACAGCTGTTAACCTGAATATAGCCGTTTGCATTAAAAATATAGATTTGTGGAACATCGTGTGAGGGAAAGTTTTAGCAACCATACGCCAGTATTCAATCGCCTTTATGTTGACAATTCTTCAGCGAGGGAAGGAAAACATGCGAAATGTGCCAGAAAGTAACCCCATTTTATGGTACCTTTTTTATTTTAGTGCAAACGTGGAGCACCAGAACATCAAACATGGCATCCCATTATTGTGCATATTGAATCGGTAATTGTCCTAAACTTGCAGTGAGCTCCAATGGTAATAACACACTCAACATCAGATAAATAACTTTTATTTGTTCTTTAAAAAGAAAGCATCTGCATCATTTTCAATCTTGAACATATCAATGAGAAAAAAAACAAGGAAAAAAAAAGAACAAAACAACTAGTGATGAAAGCATGAACAGCTGTCAGATTCCTTGAGAACTCCACATAACTTCCAGAGAGCAGCACTGCTGTTCAGCTTTCTAAAATATGAAAGACACTACTACCACTGACCAGACATAAATAATCCAGCAGAACTTGAGAAAGTAAAGGTTTGATGACGAGTATGTCGCAAGTGACAGTGTGCACACGAGTCCACCAGCAAGATGTTATCATGGCCAGTAGCAGCTCTGTTGAGACATCAAGTGGTAACGATGTAAACATGACAAAGGCATTCTAGAAGGCCGTTGGTACTACATCGGGAGTCGAGAGTACCCGCAGTGCTTCATATTTGGGCAAATAAAGTTTACCCCATCTGACAATGCATTTAGTCACTGGTACATAAGGGTAATGAATTTTAACATTGACATACCACCCCAGACATGATGTAGCATGGGAGGCAAAATATTCACCAAACGAGCTGCGCAAAAATCTAAATGAACAAATGGTGTCTGCTCACATGTCTGCGCTCAAAGGCAGAGGTTTTACATCAGAGGCATAAAGAGAAAGGAAGCACAGGCCAAGCGACGATGAATTGTTATTTCTCACTTTTCTTCGATGTAGGCTGAAATGTGTGTACGAAAAATTGTCGAAGTTCAAATGGGACTGCTGCTGCCAAACTACTTTATGATCAGCTAGTCACCGACCATAGTGGTGGAACAGCCATATAAAAAACAAGGCAGGAACTCAAACACATTTCTTAATTCTTCTCAGGTTGGATGTTAAAGCTCCTGTGGACATCGGGGACCAGTGGTAATCATGCTTAATTTAGTAAAGGAGGCCTACAAGCCATTTCGGGCACTGGAACTTCCCTTTTAGAACACGTTTCATGTTCCCATCATAATCAATACATCTAATGATTCAAGAATGGCACTTTTTTTTCATTTTCTTTATCTACAAATGCATCTGCACTCCAAAGACAGACAGTTACGAAGCAACAGCAGTCATGGTACGAGCCACATCATGCAAAATTGTGTGTAAATCATTACTCACAGCGGTCTTGAAACGATATTCATGAGACAATATCAAAAGCAGCATGACGACACACCAACCTATCTTCCGACTTGTTTTTTTACATGGTACGCTTAAATCATTATTTGTATGCCCTACTTTGCCAACACACTTTTAAATAAGCTTTAGCATGTGGTTCAACTTAGCGTTCAGCATTTACTTACAGTGAAGCACACATTTTATTACCGTTTCTTACATAGCAGCATGAGGAAGCTGCAAATATCGGCTTGAAATCTTACATTTCAGAAAGAAAATAGTTAAATTACTTGATTACTATTGCTGATGCTTACTAATCACAGCCGTCCCAAATGTATGCCTACTTGTTAAGCTCTATATTTCAGGTAACATGTAATTAAAAGAAATACCTAAGCTTTGGCACAGGCCCTTGGGGACTTGGGCATGCTCGTGCTATAAAATGTCCCAAAATCACAGATTTGCCATCCTTTCGGCAAGACGTATAGTGAACCATTTCCTGAGCAACATCATCATAGTGCTTCAATGAACATGGAGTCCTACCCCAGTGCCAGTTGTTTCAACCAAGCTTTTTTTTTGTACGTTTTCTGAAATCACTTTTTCTAGAAATGAAGATTTGTTGTTAGGTTTTCATGATGCAGAAACCAGGTTTGACTTCAAAGCAGCAAAGCACTAGCTGGATATTCTAGTATTATTTTTGTTGGGTGTGTGCAATCCAATTAGTGCATCTAAGCTAATCGACAATCTTTTACTATAGTGTAACATTTCATGAATGAAAGCAGACAGCTAAAATCCCATTCAAGTTAACTGCAGTCAATCAAGGACAGCTTTCTTTAGCAAGAAAGTCGAAGCCCCAGGGGGCTTAACGAAGACTACCCCATCATAGCACATGCAAGGTGTTGATGTATTCAGTGAATGGTTCATCTAAGTGAGCAGTTTACACCAGAAAATTCATCACATCCAAACATAAGCTGGTCTCAACTGCTGAAGAAGTTTGTTTATGTGGCTCCCATGGCTACCCTCTTCTTTCCACCCCATATGCAACTGATATCCTCAATGGAATGTTACCATTTCTGGATGTTTCCTTTCTTCTTCAAGGCACCCCCCCCCCCCCCCCCCAGACAGAATGTGATATGCGCTCTACTACATCACAAGCAGAAAACACATTTTGACAATTACACTAATCCCATCGCACAACAATACAACACACAAGAACACAGATTTTCTACACTGCCGATCTCAACCACTTTGTGGCGACTGACGAATGCAAAGCAGTTCAAGCTGTACATGGAGAGCCAAGTTAGTTGTTCACTCTCCTAAGTGTAACAAAAGCAAAGCTGCAACAATAACAAAAAAGGACAGACTATACTACATCGGCAAAACTTTTATAGCTTGACCCATCACGCTATATTACAGGGCTGCCATACAACATGTTTTGCTTAGCTAAAGTGTGATAAGAACATTTTCATGCTTTCTGGCCCTTCAGCCCTCTCACAAAAGGCTTAGGCTCCTTTTCTCTTTTGTCTGAAGTGGGCATAGCCACGTCTAGCACTCACACACCAGTCCACCGCAGTCCTTGCAGCCCTTAACTGCATACTCGCATACAGTCACCTCCCACTCTCAGTGTAAGCACGCCTGTCTCAACAGAAAAGAAGTAAAGCCTATAACTGTCACAGTTCTCAAGCAAGTGTCCGAGGTTGAGTTGAGCAGTTCAAACAAATGTAGCTGATCAGCTGTCTCGGCAACGTGCGTTGTATGCACATTCTCTTTGGTTATGAAACGACAGAAGCCATAAAAGGCAACGTCAGGCTGGCCATTCAGAGGCCACTGGTTTCACAGGGATCCATTCACCTGCTTTTGCCTTGCGCCGTTGCACGGTGTGGTCATTGGGCAATGCTGGTTTCAACACGCCATCGCCGGCATCGGGCGTGGCTGCATCAGTGGAACTGCTGTCGCACGGCTGTGTGAAAGTGTCCATTGCCGCAACCTCTTCACCGTCATGGTACTAAATGAATATGGTAAAAGCCACAACTAATTAATAAAGCACACAAATGGGCTGTACACCTACTGATTCAAGTGACCATGATTAAGTGCCACAGTGCCTTGGCAATGCTTATAGAACCTGATAATCTGCCGTTATTAAAACAGAAATATAAAATGTGCTAGTGAACACCTGTATACCACACAATGAACGACTAGAGCAGAACAACACCATTACAAAAGTTAAGAGACTGTCAAGCTGTCGGAAGCAGCAGTCCGTAACAGTAGCCTACAATACTAGTCTCTAACTGTCAATAATGCCTGTTAAAATCTTTAATAATGACCTTACAATGTTATGTACAGCTTCATGGGCCAAAAACATTTGGCACAACCTATGCAACCATTTAGTAATATAAAAAAACTGCTGTTCAAGCATTCGCACTGTCACAAAAGAGAGAGAGGAAGAAGTTTTCTACACATAGTATACCGCAAGCGGTGAATGCATCAGTGAAGCAGTGCATCATTACAGTGCGAAGTCACGGCCTACTTTTGTTAGCAGCAATGTCTATACGCTTTGCATTCAACTTAAAAACAAAAAGCAAAAACAATGTAATGTTTTCAAGTTAATCACATAAGAAAGCCGTGCTGACATGTCTTGATCCACTATTTCCACGGTGCCCGGACCATTGATTCTATCTACCTTAGCATGGATGTTGAAGAGCACCGCTTCCTGTGATGAGTCACTAGCCACTAACTTAGGCAATCCAGCACACTTTTCTTGGTCCCAAAGATGCAGACAGCATAACCCTATATGCCGAAGCCAATTAATTTCTCTGCAATTTCTTATTCCGCACAAGGACCTTCATATGCCCATCTAAACATAATTTAAAAAAGCTGACAGTTTTCATGAGTATATTGTCACATAAAAAGTAAATTATAACTTTTGGCTTACCTTTCCTCGATAGTTTGCATAAAGAACACATCCGTACACACAAGCGACACTCATAACAAACTGAAAAGAAAAAGAATAGAAAGCATTGCACACTCGCAAAGTCACTTCAAGGCTTATTATGCTTACAGTATGGTTTCTGAAAGCTAGATGCATCCACAATTTATTTACACTCAGTGTTATGAACTACTGTCGCTGTGCCAACCGAATTTTACTGTTCGCCTTTCCAATACAGAGATACCTTTATTAATATTTTTTCCACCCCCCAAAATGGAACGGTAGCTTTAGAGAAAAGTTTTTGACATGAAAAAATTGCACTTGGTTTATCTGAAACATCACTTTGGCCAAGCTGCTCTTGCACTCGGACGCTGCAAGCAGACTTGACTGCATGCAAGGTCAGAGTGTAACAAAGCCAACCCTTTCCTAAGCAAAGAAGTTCACAAACTATGACAGAAAACAGTAGCCTAATACATGTCTACAACTCTAAAATGGGGTGTAACTTGCACATTTTTTTTTTAGACCCATTTAGCTTCAATGCCCTACTTACATGAACAAAGATGTGACTGAAATATTGTGCATAGTTTTGACACAATGACAAAACCGATGTGTCAATAAAAATTTAATAATAATTGCTAGAACCACAACCTTTCAATCGTGCCCTTTACATATCTTGTGTTTCTCGAGTACGCAACTCCTGTACTTCATGTGTGACTTCAATAACTACAAGAAATTTTCGCTAACACTGTCAGTCGACATGTTCAACTGAAGCAAATCACTGGCAGCAGTGAATGCGGGTGCAATAAACGCAGTTTTACTGTGGTTGAGCGAGAAACCCCTACAAGGTTATTTGCATCGAGTAGTAGCATAGTGTCAATGTTCACATGTACACCCAACATCAAAAGTCGAGGGAATGCTGGCTCAACAACAAATACGACTTTCTGATCTATCAGTGCATAATAAAGTGCTTATTTGGGCTGGCTAGTACATTATCAACGAAGCAAAAAACAGCGCGAAACACGGGACAGTGAAAGAGACTGACGAAGCATTGCACTTACAACCTAAGGTTTTATTCCACGCAACATGAAAAGAGGTAGAGAAGAACAGTGACGTGGAACCTTTGTTAATGAAATCTTTGTATGTGTTTGAAAAAACTATGAACAAGCATTCATCCAATTAACAAATACACTTTCACCATTCCATGTTTCGCACTGTTTTCGCTTCGTTGATCAATGCATAATGCTTTGAATCTAGCTGGCGCTTTGTATAGGTTGCAATACCAACTATAAACAGGCTGGAACGTTTATTTTGAGGTCACGTTCCCAGAGAAAGTGAGAACACATGTCTCGCGAAATTTTCTTTGTTGGGTGCACCTTTTGGGACTTGCTCAAATTATGTTGGTGGTGACAAGAGCGAATTTCACAAATTTGTAACTTGGCATGTTTGAACACTGCATTACAAAACATGATAACAAGGGCGGACATCCTTGTATTTCTGCCAATTTATAGCGCCACTTTCTCAGTGTTATTTGGCGTTGCGATTAAAAGACAAAAAATCCTGAAGCCTTGCTGTCCCACTTAAAGCAATTCAACTGTCTAGTAAAGTCACTTTGTGTTCTATGTGCAACTAAACTATATACTCACGCATGTCAGTACTCCAGTTGGCTTAAGAGTATACAAATGAAACCCAGTTTGGCAAATTGCAATAAAAAAAAGCATGCACAGGCTCAGAGCAGAAATAACGGCGCAATGAGCTCCATTAAAACACCATGCTGCACCTACACAATTTAGATGTGCTACTTTTTTGGTTTCTGGGCTTTGAGAACTAAAGTAGACAGTCTCTCATTAAACAGAACCTGAAGGGACCGGGAAAATGTGTTCCATTTAACAGAAGTTCCACGTTACTGAGAGGCGAGCTGGGTTGCAGCATTCAAGTATGAAACTAATATCAGACGCAGTTACAGCACTAATAAAGTAACACAAAAGGGGTGGGAGAAACAGCGGACACAGCATGAAAATTCATGCTGTATTCCATGTTCTAACATACATTTCATATTTCATTGTGCAAATTATAAATGAGCAACACTGTTCAAGTGACAACAGGATCATCGCTTGAACATCTACAGCACAGTAAAAATGTCTTCAATCAGCCAATATTCCACAGGCACTTAAATGAAAGCATGTACGTATTTCCAACCAGACTACAAGCACTTGTGAGAATACACCATATGGCACACCACATACTATATGGAACACTATAGCAACCGCACTTTGCAGGGCTGCATCTAGGGAAGAATCCCCATCAGAGCAACCATTTAAATTCCTGAACAGCGAATAATAGATGTGAGTGAATGCACCATTACTTTCAATCATCCCATGCCAAAATCCCAAACATTCACAGTTTCTCACACAAAAATAGTGAAAACCACAACCAAGCAATCCTGTCTACAAGGTGTAATGCTGGTGACATTCCAAGTATAGCAACAACCAATAAGCTCACCTGAAGAAACACCCAGAGGAGTATGTTCACTATCTGTGTTTGAGCAAAAAGCTCCAGTCCAAACTTTATGCAGATTATGGCCTCCGTTAGCATGATTGCAGCTGAAAAGATTGACAGATTACCATAATTAACAGTGCAGCAGTGCCATTGTATATCTCCAAATAAATAGCTAGGCATAAAATTCAATTCCATCTTAAATATGCAGTGCATAACATCCATGCGATCTTGGATACCAGCTAGCTCTGCTATATACTGTAAAATGTGCCCCTACACGAGAAGCGCCCCCTCCCCTCTGGCCACTTTTTTTTTCAAGATGAGCATCGCTAGTGTAAAAAGTACCAGAAGAATGAGCACACCGACTGTGTACCTAATGCTTTTAATGAAATGCTTTATAAGTAGCGCATTTTATCAGAAACATGGTTGGGTATTTTTTTTTAACAGCTCTCTCACCACCACCTTGAATTTAGGTCTAGGATCGAGCAAGCGCCCCCCTCCAAAATCTGGTCGGATCATACTTCACCGTAGGGGGGGTGCTTGTTCGGCACTTTAAGATAGTATTAAGAATGCCTTGACATACCGTGTTTACTCGATTCTACCGCGCCCTCGATTGTAACGCGCACCCGATTTCCACCGCGAAAAAAAAAAAAAAAAACCGTAAGACAGCAATTGCAACGCGCACCCATTTTTCTCGCTGGCCCGCACGATCACACCACTCGAAAAAAACGACTCCTTTCGTGAGCGTCTTCCATTTAAATATGAGGTACGGGCCAAGCTTGTGCTCATCTGACGTGTAACAGAGCATTGCCGTCACTGTAGTTTTACCGTGGACCGATGTCAGCACATGAACTTGCTTCGTCCCCTTCTTCTTGCCGGTTGTGGTGCCAGGCATGTCGAAGTAAAGAGGTGTCTGATCGGCATTCCCGATTTGCCCAAGCAGGTAGCCGTTGTTGCGCCGCAAGTTTAGGACGAACCTCTGAAAACTGTGAAGCTTTTCATCGTATTCCTCCGCAAAACTTTTCGCATATGCATGTTCCCCTTCGGAGGAAAAAGCCTTTCCTCTTCATAAAGTTAGTTAGCCAGCACCTGCTCGCTTTAAACTGGCTCCGCATTAGACTTTTTTCTAAGACTAATTGCACAGCCCGCACTTGGAGCAGTTCTGTCGTCACGGGCCGCTGTGCCGCTCGCTGCTCAAGCACATACTCGCCGAGCAGCTCTTTAATTTGCGGAAACCGACCCTGCTGTGGTCCACTGAAGCCTTTGCGAGAAGCTTTGCTGTCGACAATCTTCTGCTTTTGTTTCCGCCGGTCCCGCACGCACGTTTCGGGAACTCCGAACGACCGCGATGCGGCCCGATTTCCGTCCGTTTCTGCACACGCAATGACTTTTCTTTTAAAAGCGGCATCGTGGTGCACTCGAGTTTTTGGAGTCAGCCCTTCCACGCCGTCGATGCTAATGCACTACTAGATAACGAACTGCTCAGCACACGTACGAAGTGCCGCACATGGGAAACACATAGGCAGAAATGGCCGATGTGTCATGCCGACGCACGTAGGGGGCGGCCATTTTGGATTTGCCGATGGCAATAGATTGACCGTAATTTTTTTGTTCGTACTCGATTCTAACGCGCATGCGATTTATGAACCCGCTTAACCGGAGAAAAGGTGCGCGTTAGATTCGAGTAATTACGGTATATGCCATTGCTAACTGTTTCATACAGGGTGTCAAGCAATACAAATTTTTCTTTAAAAAAAAAAAAAACTATAGTAAGTAGGCACTTGTCATCACAGCCAATTGCTAGGCCAAGGTGGAAGGATTTCGCCACTATTTAGATCACTCAGGAATGATAATTCAACAAAAATAATTGAATTAGCCTTTTTGTTATCAATTTTAGGGTGGCCGTTCATATGGCAAAGTTATTCTACATCACAAATTATGGTGATCCTAGTTTTTAAAAATTGAAAATATCACGTGTTGTTTCAGAGGTTCACCATTGAATATCAAGTTCGCGGTGCTAGAGAAACCAAAACTAACGCACTGAGTGCGCCGGAAGGGTGGTCCCTGTGCTACATCACTCATGATCTTCCTATTACGTAATTCGAATTATGGCGGGTCTCGCAAGAGGCTTTGTGTCATGCTAGCAAAAGCATGTCGAAAACTGGTCCTTCGCGCATGATGTGTGGTGGTTCTCTGATTGTTGTCATTTTAACTTCGGAAAGGAGCAAGACTCGCATATTAGGTGAAAGCCTTTGATGTTCTATACTTGCGATGGCCGGTGTTCGGTCCCCTGGCACGGTACCAGCCGTGGCGCTTCCCCTTCACACAGGAGGATAAATGAGCTTTATGAGCGCTGGAACGCAGAGGGCGTCTGCACAATGTGCGAAGTGTGAGAATACGAACGCACACGAAACCGGGGCAGATTAGTCTCGCGACTCGCTGCCATTACGTAAAGGGAAGTTCACGCATGACAGAGCACATAGACCACCCTTCCGGCGCACTCGGTGCATTAGTTTCGATTTATCCGGCAGCGAGGTCTGGAAATTCGATGATGGACCTCTGAAACAACACGTGATATTTTCAATTTTTAATAACTAGGCTCGCCATAATCTGAGCTGCAGAATAACTTCGCCATATAAACAACCACACTAAAATTGATATAGGAAAGTCAATTAAATTATTTTTCTTAATTTCTGAGCAATTAATTTGTGGCAAAATCTTTCTGCTTCGGCCTAGAAATTGGCTGCAAAGACGACAAGTGAGCTACCCGTTTTCCAAGGAAAAAATATGTATTGCATTAAAAAAATACTGTGTATATGAGCTAACCCCACATAGACTGCACAATGTCTGCTAGTCAAGTATGGGGCACCAACAAGTTTCAGACAGTAAAAGTAACCTGCAGAATCATTCTAACAGAATACCATAAAGAAAGGCGCATGGGTCACGTATCACCAAAGTGTGCAGCCAATATTTAGGCACCAGAGGGCTACGATATCATTTATGTGCACTAAAGGTATGTACACAGGTTCCAAGTAGTTGACAAATGCCATTGCAAGTATAACAACTACTCACCCAAATACCCAGCATTGTGTTCCCACTCGTCGGCACCTTGTGTCCGTCACATAGCTGTAGTACTGCCTGAAAGCACATCAAGCATCCAAATTTAGAAAAACACTGCTTAGTCGGCTCATATCAAGAATGCAAGATTTTACACCACAATGCCTTGTGTGTAATGAAAGTAACGTAGACGATGTAAAAAACAGTGTTATACCTAAATACTGGTGAACCCAACACATATCACTATGTTAGCAATAATGTTAACATACTGCAAATAAAATTTATGAGAACCCAATTTTTCACACCAAGCTAATGCTCCTATCAAACTATCACGTAAGGGCAGATGAGATTTCAAATGCTGTAGGGTCCCTTGCTCAAATTATCAGGTACCACTGATATGGCAATGCTGCTGACAAGTTTTAATCGTTAAGGTTACTTTTTATATCCTTATTTTTCATGCCACTTCAAATTAGCTGCTGTCAAAATGGAAAAACATTTGATATAAATATTTTTGAGCAAATATTTGAAAACTGGCGAACACTGATGAACTCCATCTACAATGTCACTCACACCTACGCACATTAAAAGCGAACGAGGCTCACCCCAAGCTGACAGAGCACATTCAGAGAACCACAAGTGATCATTGCAATGCGTCCGAAGGTGATCAATCACAGTTTACAAGCCTATACGACCACTTAAGACTGCAGTAGCTCGAATGACGTGCCACATTTATGTTCGATCGAAATGAAAAATTTTCCTCAGCATGACAAAAACTTAGGCTGATAAATTGGGCATGTTCAAGAGCATGAAATCGTACACTATAAAAATATGTAGAAAAATGATTCATGCAAAGAAAAGTATAAATCTGGTACAGACCTCAGTGTCGGAGCCACAATGATGCCGATGAGCATTAACCTTGCAACACTGAGTGGGTGGTCTGGGGGCACCTCAAAAATGTGCTTTAAGAAGAATGTGTTCAACTCTGTTACCTGCAGTCATGAATTACAATTGGAGATCATTAGTTCCCATTGCTGACATCATAAACACAAGTAGTGCAGACACGAGATGGGCACAAACACATCTTTCAGAAAACAATGAAAAAGAAGGGACACACCTGCCAGAAAATGACTAGCTCTGTGACGGCCAAGAACCGCATATAGGTGCAGGCAGGGTCCATCCAGCGCACGTGTGTCCAGCTGCGCAATTATTTCGGAACATGAGAGAGTGCTCAACGCAGCATACTACGACAGTAACAGCCTGTTATTAAAAATAAATATTGGACTATTCAAACTCTTCTTCTGGTCCCAGCATAAGTATGCATCATCTAATGGCATTAAACTCTCGTTAATACTATTGTCGTTTGCCATGCAACAGTTATTTTATGAGGCACTCAAGAAACATCCGGCGTTGCAAGTGCGCAATAAAAAAGAGGAAAACTGGCGCTGGCTGTCAGCGAAAATCAAGTAGCAGTGTAGCTTCACACTGTAGTGGGATGTGCAATTGTACAAGAATGCTAGATATTTGCATAGCAATAATATACATAGTAAGCTGTACAAGGATATGTTCCAGCAGTTGATGATCTTTAAGTAGCACAACAGGCAAGTGGTACATAACAAAGCGAGTATAATAATATTGTGTGGGATTTAACATCCCAAAAACATGATACGATTATGAGGGGCGCGTAATGAAGGGCTCCTGAAATTTTAACCATCTATTGTTCTTTAGCGTGCACAGACATCACACAGCACACTGACCTCTACTATTACGCCTCCATCGAAATGCGGCCGAGGCCGAACGCACGACCTTGGGTGAGCAGCCGAGCACCTAACCAATTGCCATACGTTTCATTTACCTAAGGGGGCAGACTGCTCTTAGACATTTTCTGTTTATTTCTTCAGTGATCTTGATCAAACTGCACAGAATTATGCAGTTTTTTTCCACTGACTTCAGTTTTTTCTGCTTTTTCTGCTGATGTTTAATTAATTTTTCTGCAACTCATCTTATTCCTGAGATAACTTCAGTTCATCCCCTATTGTTTAAAAGGCCGTCATAGAAAAAAAAATGCTTAATAAAAGTGATATTTGAAATATCCCAACATAGACTAATGACCATAGATTAAAATAATGCAAGAGTTTTTTTTGTTTTTGAGCCTTTCTTAATTATCTTACAGCAAAATGAACTATCCATTTTCAAAAGCAGTTGGAATTGTGTTAAAATTGTGATTAGTAATTAATTAAAATGGCTTGTTCTAAAAATTCTGCTCCCATACTTGCACCCTACACATACACAGGTTTCCATTGCAAAAAAAATTATTGTACCTGCCCTAGCTGCAGAGATATTGAGGCCTCAAAATTGAACAGTTGTAAATTTACTTTGAACAAAAATTGAAAAAAAAAAAAACTGAAAACACACAGCTTCTTCAAAAAGCAACAATCATGGTGTGCATGTTTTGCAATCCTCATAAAAGTGCTCGTAAATTCGTAGCAGAGCTTATAACACAGGTGCCGGCAAATTATAAAAAGGCCTCAAAGTTGGTTACCCATTTTTTTGCAGACTCTGCATGTTAACAGCACCAAGAATCTGGACAGTTAAAATGACATTACAAAAAAATTACCCCTTCCTGGTGTGTGAAAATTTGCAGAGAGATAGCAAAATACTTGCAGATACCAAATATGTCAATTTTAAAGAATAATTTTTTGTGTTACTTCTTGGTCCCAAAAAGCAGTCTGCCGCCTTAAGTGCAGAATAGGAAAGTTTCTTAATGAAAGAAGGATGTGTAACTCAGAGCAACAGTCCAATTCATTCAAAAGTCACTATTTTTCGTATGAGCATATGCATAAGAGGAACACCTATACAGTACTTATTCAGCTAGAAACAAACCTTGCAGGAGTAAACTGCAACAGTGCTCTTCGAATCTTTCCTGTTGTCGTTTGGATGTCCCTGCAATGAGAAATAACACACGTTAGTCCTAAGCATAAAGTTGCACATGTCCAACAACATCGTTTAATAAATGCAGAGATAGAGTAGGCTAGCAAAGGAAAAATTATAAAGTGATGGACAGAGGAACTAGAATAGTACCTACATTGGCAGCAAATTATAGGTCACACGTACAAAAGGATCACATAAAAATAAAGAGCTATGGTTACATAAAATTAAGACGAGTATGCTCATTTTGCTACTTGTACAACAGTGCTCACAAGTCAGATAAAAAGCTTCTAGCCGATTAACTTTGATATTTTTCCAATTGCAAACATCAATTAAATTTAGCATTTTCGTGACTGGTCACTTTAAGTTAGCACAAATTTTCAACACAGAAGGCTCGCATCCTGATGTTTTTGCTATGAAAAAGTGTGCTTATTATACAAGGTAAAATGCACACGCACAGCAAGAAATCGCTACACTCGAGAACTCACTTAATGCTTTCCCACTTGTAGCTGCGCATCTCAAGCTTTTCACAGATGCGCATGCCAAACCAGATGCCCAAGCCGTTGCACAAAAGCACATCCAGCACAATGGCATCCCACCAGCACTCCTTGAAGTTGGGGAGCAGGTGTGCAAAAGCCATCTGTCAAAAAAAAAAAAAAAAAAAAATTGTTTCCCTCGCGTATTCTTACTGTGAGGTGTATGAAAGAAGGTAACAGGCAATCGGCATGCATGCACAGTTAAACTTCTTACCCTCGTCTCCACTTAAGTTTCAAAAATAAATTCACATTGCCAACATTTGGAGTTTTCTGTGTAAAGCTACACATAGAGCATGCCCCCACAGTACAAAGTACCTGTTTGCAATGAATTTTGTTGAAAAGGCACTAAAGTGCCAACAAATGGACACCTTAAATTCTAAATCAAATGCCAAACAGTAAAGCTAAGGTCAAACTCAAAAAAAAAAGAAAAAAACTCAAGTACTTTTATATTCGGACATGTTCTATCGTGTCACATTTTTTGATGCTAAAGCTTTCGGAAAGCGTCTGTTTATTTTCATACATATGTTGAAGGCATAAAACTGTTCTAAACTTCCTTTGAAGATGAAACAATTGCTGCATTACAAGAAAGTTAGCTTTTCACTTTGTCATGGGGTAGACCCGCTACACTTTCACCCCATCATTAGAAAATCGAATGTTCAGGGTCATCGAGGGCAGTATCACCAACTCGACAACGGCCCGGACGACGGTGACTGAAATAGCAGAGCAAGCGGCGATTGCGTTGGCGTTGCTGAACAACAGGAGGTCCACAATTTACAGTGACTCGATATCGGCGGTCCGAGCATTTGCCAAGGAAACAATATCGGAACCAGCTTTGCGAATTCTTCGGGACAAAGACATGGAGCCACACACACTCGTTTGGTTCCTAGCTCATATGGGACGCGTTGAGGGAGCCCCACCCAACCTCAACAAGTCAGCCCACATAGCTGCGCGAGGACTAGTAAACCGCGTAGCTATCGGGGGCACGGCGCTGATATCTTGGAAAACCTGAGCGCTGATATCTTGGAAAACTTGAAATACAGCCAACTAATACATTTTTCTTCTGTCATGATATAGCTACCTTGGAACATATGCTCTGGTGGTGCCTCGCGTTACGCTGTGAGGAAGTCATTACGCCGTCCAAATGGGAGGGTGCTATTGCAAGCTCTATTAGACTCGAATAACAGCTATGGGCAGTCCACCGGGCCCGCGATGCAGCAGAGAGACTTGGTCTTTCTGTTCCGAAGTGGGAGCAGCCCGCAATGTGCTAAAGCATAGTCCGCCCGTCCATCCGTCCATCGAGTGAGATGCGTTTGTGTTCACTTGTGCAGCAGGACACTGTGTTAGTTATAGTAATTAGAACAGGAATATTTTTCAGACCACCTTCATCGTTATTTTTGGCTCACAAGTAACCTTTTTGCAAAGCTTATTATTCTCCTTCTACGCAGCAATACTAGTGGGGATACACTCCAGAGAAGCAAATTGACAAATGCGGCATTTAGGGCAGACATGAAAAGCAAATGACATGGTTTAGTGCCTGTGAATTGTCGAAATGTTCCTATTGCTAAGTGTCAACTGGCAGTATTAAACTACTTCCATAAGCACTCTGTGACATATAACTAGAATGTCCATAAAGTATTGCTAGTATTTCACAGTGATGCTCATGCATTACAAACATGTGTCAGAACTTTCCACCTAAAGTTACGATGCTACATTTAAAGCCAAACAATGTTCACCTCTTAAAAATCTACTTAATAGCACACTTCAAGGCCACACGAGATTTCAGCATTGATCCAGCTGTTTAACCTTTAGAGCTTTGTGTACTTCGCACTCCTTTGACACATTTAGTACCGAAGGTATTCGGTTAAACAGCTGGTGCTTTTAAAGGGGCCCTGCAACACTTTTTGAGCCTGGTCAGAAAACGCTGTTAATCGATAGTAGAAGCTCCCGGCAACATGCGAGCCAAATATTACAGTGGAGCACGAGGCCTGGAATTCACAATAAATTATCAAAGTCAGTTAAAAATTGCTTTTTTTTTCTCTTGACAAATTACGGAATAAGGCCAAAAATCACTCATAGTAAGCCTATTTATTAGCCATTGGCTGATTTGAACATGGCACGCTCGGTCGTTACAGAGATTACCGCAAAAGGCCGTGACTTGTACACTCGTGTGCGCGCGATCACACTGAAAAAAGTAATGCATTTAAAGAAAAAAAAGAAAGGAAAAAGTGCTCAAGGTCATGAGGCGCGCGTGACGTTTTTTCTTCGCACTGACATTCCTCCTTGCCTAGCTTCCAGGGCTTTCGTCGGGACGAGAGAAGAGAGAATGCAAATGCAGCATGCAACGAATCTTTGTAACTCCACTCGCACTGGATGGATTTTGAAAATTTTTGCGTCGTTTAATTCATGAGGCAGTAAGCTCTTCCAGAGAGCTCATTCCATGGTTACCGTAATTACTCGAATCTAACGCGCACCTTTTTTCCGGTTAAGCGAGTTCATAAATCGCATGCGCGTTAGAATCGAGTACGAACAAAAAAATTACGGTCAATCTATCGCCATCGCAAATCCAAAATGGCCGCCCCCTACGTGTGTCGGCATGGTGCGTCGGCTATTTCTGCCTATGTGTTTACCATGTGCGGCACTTCGTACGTGTGCTGACGAGTTCGTCATCTAGTAGTGCATTAGCATCGACGACGTGGAAGGGCCGACTCCAAAAACTCGAGTGCACCACGATGCCGCTTTTAAAAGAAAAGTCATCGCGTGTGCAGAAACGGACGGAAATCGGGCCGCATCGCGGTCGTTCCCGAAACGTGCGTGCGGGACCGGCGGAAACAAAAGCAGAAGATTGTCGACAGCAAAGTTTCACGCAAAGGCTTCAGTGAACCACAGCAGGGTCGGTTTCCGCAAATTGAAGAGCTGCTCCGCGAGTATGTGCTTGAGGAGCGAGCGGCACAGCGGCCCGTGACGACAGAACTGCTCCAAGTGCGGGCTATGCAATTAGTCTTAGAAAAAAGTCTAATGCAGAGCCAGTTTAAAGCGAGCAGGTGCTGGCTAACTAACTTTATTTAGAGGAAAGGCTTTTCCCTCCGAAAGGGAACATGCATATGCGAAAAGTTTTGCGGAGGAGTACGTAAAAAAGTGTTTCAGGGCCCCCTTTAAGAATAATTCAAAAGTAAGAATATGTAGGCAAGAAAGCGTCAAAAACTGCCGGAGCTCTTACCTCAGTGATCTCCCAAGTGACACTTATCGTCCAGCAAATGCCGTAATGCCTAACCAGCATAGCCTTCATAGCCCATCCAAAGAAGTGTCCAAAGGCAAACACATCCATGTGGGCCCACAACTTCTCCAGGGTAATGTCGGAGCAGTTGACACCATACTCCTGTACACGCAGCACAACACACAAAAACAAATGAGGCCACTGCTGCCTGACCGAATGAAAGTGTTTATGTTTCAGGGCCGAACATTTGCCATGAACACAACAAATTAGTTTTGACTATTCAGATCAACGCGATGCAAGTTTTCTCGACAAAGTGGTGCCCAAACACTGCCACATTTGGGTACCGAGTAATGCAAATACACATACAAGAGTGGTATTACAATCCCACCTTTTCCAAGTCTATGGAGAAGTTTTGTAGCTTTGGGTAGAACCAGTACATGACATTCTTGATTGTGGTGTAGTTTTGGAAAAGCAGAAATAGGAGACCCATAAGGTAGAGCACACTTAGGCCTGAAAAATATGAAGAGGGCTAACGTTAATAATTCAAACAACTTCGGTTGCTGCAACTCTGCCGAGTCAGCACGCAAACAAGCCTAGCCCTAGAAGCTTTTCTATGCTTGCAGACATCAAGCCTACATTTTATTTCAATGCAGATGGGGAGGCCATTTTTGACACTCGTCCCCTTGCCTATTTGCATGCATGAGTATACTGCATGAAACTGTAAATGTTTCAGAGACGTGGGGTTGAACTTTTCTCCTCAGTTTCCCTGCCACTTTCTACTCCCCTTTTTGTTACCTTTACAAGTGACTGGTTATTAGTTCAGTGCTCACATGACCTGCCCAGTCTAATGAAATGAGTACTAACAGAAAAGAAAACAGAGGATAATATTAAAAGTGTTTTCACCAAAGACTATCCTCCACACAGCTGGGTGTGGTCGAGTGAAGGGACCTGAAAGAAAAAGCAAGGATATTTATAGGATAACATTGTGCACATTTTTTTTAAAGGAATGAACACACAGCGTATATTTTACAAACTGGGAATACGAGAAACACAAACTAATTGCAGAAAAAAATCAATTTAGTTTTTAACGTCCAACAACAGCACTTCTCGTATGGAAAAGAAGCGACGTTGTACTTAGCCCTGTCACACCACTTTTTTCATTTCACGAATGTGACATCGTCATATAAAACAATTTATTAAAAGCTTTCCATCTTTCTTTGTGCGTAGGCTTTGTTTGTTCTTCACTCAGTACTGAACTTCATGCAACTAAACTCCACTCTTGTCATGCTCTACATAAAAGATGACCTTTCCCCTAACTCAAGGAAACCAGGAGATGTGGCTATGTAAAGCCAGAGCTTTCAAAAATGTAGCAAACCATCGTGTGGCAAGGGCCGGAGGTTCAATTATTGCAGCTTTCAGTTTGCACAGCACTTGATTCAGCCATTTTTTTACTTTCGGTTCTGATCCCTATGCTATCACTGTTCAAGCTGGAAGTGATTTTTAAAGCTTTACAATGTGTTAACGGCACCCGTCATAATCAAGCGCTGTTTCTTGCATACTGCATCAAGAGTTGCACGTTTAGCAATGACGACCAACATTTATGAAAAAAATGTCAGCTCTGCGTGGAGCACACAGCACAGCCATAATGAAAGTTGGAAGAGCAGCTTTCTAGAGACCTTTGTAAACTTTCTTCTTGGGGGACAACCTACTACAAAAGCACTAGCGAGGTACCACCTGCACCTTGTCATCATAATTGTCATGAACCCGTTTCATGAACCAAGAGCAAGGTACCCGTTGCTCACCCGCATTATGTGCACTTCGTTGATGCTGTGGCTTATAACGAATAATTATGGCTGAGCTTCTTGTAATGCATAGGAAGGTTAAAACAACCCATTTGTTATGCACTTCACATTGTGTGACACCTGGTTGTTATTTCACACTTATGCCACACTGTGTTGCATATATTAATGTGATTCCCTGCCCAACATGATGCCTGTATAGGGTAATTTTGTGAAGGATTTATGTGGCAGCAAGCAGCTGCAACTGCAAAATTCTTCTTTTTTTCATTTTACGTTCCCACTGTAAAACTATAGATGATCAACAATTCCCATTCAGGTAGCTCCAAAAGCTTTCTAGAGTATATTGGCCATCCTTCCTTACCATTTGGGAAGGCGAGGACGCTGATGATGAGAAAGAAAAATGCAACGCAGCAGATGCCGCTCCACATATTCTGTTCGAGATTTGCATCATCTCTGCAAAGCATAAAAAAAAAGAGAACAAAGGCAAGTAAAGTGTTTCAATTTCGCATCTCTTTGCGACAACACCATGAGAGAGGAAAAAAAGAAGGGTAGGCCACGTGACATACAACCACATCTTAACAGGAGAGTTGCTTTATATAGGCACACTGTTTCCCCTTGCAAAGAACAATGTCTGCAAGAAAATTTATGTGTCTCACTAAATACTTGTTCTGTCTGTATGTTTGAAATGCAGAAAAGTGCTGAAAAAGTACATTGGAAGCTGCTTCGATACAACTGCATGCTAAAATGCATTATGTATAAAATGCCTACTTCACCTGATGCTTCTCAATTATGCATCACTGACAATTATTGCCACCACCATACTGTTTAATATAAGCTGGTGACTAATAGCCACCTGTTTTAATCCACTGTGGTCTGGCCTTCTGGCTACCCTTTCCAGTTATTTTGCTTCCTTCATAACCTATTTTTGTAACGGAATGTTACCTACACCTGCCACAACTTCGGCTCTATCACTCTCTCTCACCCCCCACCCCCCTCTTTTCCACATAAATACTCCCTTTGCTTATCTCGACCACTGACCGCTCAACACTTTCCATCAGCTTTGAACGCCTTCCACAGCTCTTGCTTGGTATTCGGATTTCCCTTCAATGCAGCAAAACCATACCTTATCCTATTGGAGATATTTTCAGTGGCACGTTTTTGTCCTCAGGCAGCCACCTAAATCTTCAAACAGCAAATTGCAGCAACCCTTGTTCTTATTTTGTTACTTCATTTTTTGGCACACTTGTGTAAAACTTTTTTTTTTTTTTCACTTCCATCCTCCGTATATCCTCATTTTGCCATTTCTGTTTCTCAAACTTTCCTGTTTATGAAACCTCACTCTCTATTTAGTTTCAATGAATGTTCTTAGTAGCCAACTTCCTTGCTTTTTTTTCCCCACATCTGTGTCCACACCCTTTAGGCATGGGCATTTCCATATTCTGGTTGTTATGTCTTTTCGTCCATATTTACAAGTTTTCCTACAAACTCAATTTTGGTTTGCACTTCTCTCAGTTCAAATGAAGCCAAACATCTATGCCCTTTCACTTTATGTCTTTTCGTCCATATTTACAAGTTTTCCTACAAACTCAATTTTGGTTTGCACTTCTCTCAGTTCAAATGAAGCCAAACATCTATGCCCTTGCACTGCCTTCTAATTTGTGACTTTTCTGTGGGCCCCCAATGCCCATCAGCCAACTGGCTTTTGGTTAAATTCGAACCAAAACCTTAGAATTCAATTGCAGAATTGCATTCACAAATGTTAACACTGCTATCATTGTTCCATTCTGCTGCCTCATATTTATCATGTTCGCTCCTGCTACACTTCACACTGTTTTTATTCTTACATTATCTTGGTGGATGCTAACAAATATATTTTGAATAACACCTAGGTACTTTCTTGCTTGACATTGGGAATGACCTGCTGTTGGATTGGTATTACAATAGTACTTGCAGAGCTACATATCCCTCTTTGTTAAAATTGAGGTCTACATATTTCTGATGTGGTGCTATGAAAACTTTGGTCAAATGGGCTTTCTGTCCCTAGGTGTTTGACACAGCATGAAACTGTACATGCGCAAAAATTACATAGATCCATGGTGTATCTGTGGCTTTCAGCTGTGTTGCTGTGCAGAGCTCAAGTTTCTTGCACAGTAAGTGCTGTCATGTTCTCCACATTTTATGATGGAAGTACACTGCTTCACAGCACATTTTAATATTGATAGGCGAGGTCCAAGAGCAAGCAAATTGAATTAATTTTTTTAACCAAATGAATGAACAGTCACGCCCGATGAATACAGTCGATAAGCTACTGGGGATAATAATACACAATACAAATGCAGTTGTTTAGCAAGATCAGGCAGCCTAAAAACGGTACGGTACTCCCAGTCTATGATGCTCAACAGAGAGAAGTCAAGTATTTGAAACAAAATGTTAGTAGAGCACGGGTAACAGAATAATGTGCCGGTGGCCCACACATGTGAATACAACGAATAATTGTCAAGTGATTGAAATGATCAAAAACTGCATGCAGTCAGGGAAAAGGAATAGAGTGATGACACACTACTGTTATTCGTTGTTAAGGCTGTTGCGAACCAGACTTGCAGGCAACATATATTTCTGTTCTATGTTAGAACATGCAAGCGTCCCAATTCTGTTCTGTTAGGCCCAGTGTAAATAAACTGTGTCGAGCATGCCACGAAGCTGCCGATGCTGGCTACTAAATCTGCTTGACTAGTAATTCGGTGCTTCGCATGAAGAATCTGCGCATTGTTTAGCTTTCGAAGAAACTCGGGATCAACTTCAAGAACGAATGCCTGACCTTCTACACGCAGTAGCCCTCTCAATACGAACGCCGCCAAAGCCGCTAATTACTTTAATTTCTTTTTTGCTCTCTCTCTCTCTCTCTCCTCACACGGATGGACCTTGGGCTCTATTCAATCAGAGTACGTGAGAGGTACCGTGATATCAGCAACTGACATCACTGGGGGGTGTATAGGAAAGCGAGGTATCGGACGATCAAATGATCCGCGTAAGCGCAGCTAACAGACACAGCGCGCCTTCGATTTATTTATATATATATATATATATATATATATATATATATATATATATATATATATATATATATATATATATATATACGCAGTACGATCTGTCAATAGAACGTTTCCAAGCGAATTCAAGGCCAACATTTACAGTTCATCATTTTTTTCCGAGTCTGTAGCTTTCTTATTCGCTTCCGTGCCGCTACGGATAGCAAGCTTTTGCGCACTACAGTTTTTTCAATGAAAATACATGTTAGCGCCGTTCATGAAGTCGCAACCCTCAGCTGCCTCGAAGAGCACCGCCTAACAACAGAGCCAGATGCTAAACGATACGCTTTTGGCAGCATCTGTAAGAGCTCACAGTCGCCGCAAAAGAAGCACATTCGCGATCGCGTTGCTCCTCTCCAAGAAAGATGGCAAGAAAGAACTCACCGTGTGAAGGCGAAGTACAACAGCACAACGATAGACACGGTTAGCAGCGTAATTGTGTGAGGTTTGTAGAAGAAATCCAGGGAAATATCGTCCACCGTTCTCTCGTTGATAGAGCCGAAGGAGTCGGGCTTCTGACTAGGCTTTGCGACAACACCTTTCGATGTGGTCATCGCGAATGTTCATCCCAAAGGTAGTACGTATCCAAGATGAGCTTAACCGGTAGCAGGCTCAACATTGACTACGCAGGTGTACAACCGAACACGCCATGATGCAAGATAAACAGAAAGAAAAAAGGAACCTTCAGCGAGTGATCAGACCGAACTGGTGAACGCTGAATCGACTCACGCCATGCCTGAGACTGGAGAAGGGAGAGGAGAGACGGGCAGCATGCTCCTCTCGGCGTACGCAGCAGAGACAAGGCTGAAGGTTCGAAAATGAAGCACGGTGATTTTAAAATACAAGCAACTAACGTGCTTCTCAGCAAGCTTAAAAAAGGCATCGCCACTGTGTGTAATTGTGCAGGCAGTTTTGGGCGTTAAGCTTTGCGCAATCCATGAATCTGCGCCAAAACGCCAGCGCTACGGCGCGTTCGCTATGTATAACCGACCTAATTTATTTTTTAGCGTGTTTTTAAACATGGCGGCGCCCAGCGTAAGCGTGGTTTTTCTTTGGCACACTCAACTGCGCCAGGGTCACTGATCTTGCCCCGACTGTGGTGTTATAACGCGTCTGAAGTCGGTCTCACGTGTTCGAGGAATTTTATTTATCAAGTAACCGATGGCGTCTGCGGCCCTCCGCACGTGGCTCGCATCTGCGCGATGCCTGCGCTGTAGCCGAGTCGTAGCGAAACGGGCGCATCTCTTCGCTTTTGCAACGCCCGAAGGAGCTGTGAAGTTTTGCTCTACGTATGTAGACTTCTCTATTGATGTTCGCGTGTTATTTATACCCAGATGGTCGAATCACTGACATAAAAGTTAGGTGATAGTAGGGAATTTTCGAACAGGAGCCCCAAACGTTTGGGGGGGCTTTGGGACCCCAAAGCCCCTTGCGTATGCACGCAGGAGCGAAGAGTTTTCGAATAGGGTCTGCGGCGCTTTGGATACTCTCCCAATTCTTGGTCATGCCACCGAATTGGTCATGTCACTTCGGTGGGTGCCGTCACGTCTGTCTGACGCAAAGCTTTGGGGGCAGGATTTGGAGCTCCCGCTAAATTCGAGAAGTAGCGTCCACAACGCAAACGCGGTTTCGGTTTTGCGCATGCGCAGTGGCCTTGACGCTATTTCTTTGGGGCCCCTATCCGAAACCTCCCTAGTATCAACTTGGACACCGTGACTCGTTTTCAAAAATCTACAGTCGCCCGTAAAAGCTGCAAAATCACTCTATGTGAACTCTATATGCCAGGAACGTCGCAATTGATGATAGCATTGAGTTTTGTCGTGTTGCCTTGTAGCATTTATTGACTAGCGCATCCATTGTCCAATGTGTCAAGCTTTACTGCAAAAAGTAGCCTTTATTCGACTATCGTCGTTCTGAACTTCTTTAAATTAGATACATCTTGTCTAATTTTTTCCCTTTGAAGCATCATGTTAATTCAAAAGCGGATGTTTCATTATGGGTCTGGTTGGTACTTAACCATGCAAAATGACTGTGTTCATCTCTTTCGTTTCAGTCCCATCTTCAAAAAAGATGCAGCAGTTCCAAAAGAATCAGCACACAGTATTGGCGGGCCCCAATACTTCAAGTCGCTTTACTATTCATCACACGAAACAACGGAACACCAAACAGAATCTCTAGTGGCACCTGCTTCGGAGGGGAACTCAGAAGCTGCTGTCTTTCAGTTACCCAACATTGCTGGACTGGAGAGCGATGACCTTAGCACCTTGCAAAATGAGCTTGCCTGTGAAGTCAAGTTAGATGCTCTGTCTGAAGACGTGGACGCCGAGTTTCTTGACGGCATGGGGCCCGCTCTTCCGAAGGCTTTCAACCTAGCCGCGTATGCCAACAAGTCTATCACAGTGCAGCGATTTGTGCAACTCGGTGTCGACTTGTCAGTGTTGGAGAAGAAAGGACTTGGCCAAGAGATTATCACACTTGACTTTAAGAAGGAGGTTGAGCCAGTGATTCGGTTTCTGACGTCACAAGGTGTGCCAGCCGAGCGGCTTGGATGGTGGTTCACGAAAAACCCGCACCTGTTCAGGGTAATGTCTGCACTCTCGTTAAGTTCAACCTTCTATAGTTTGGTACAACTTCAGGATTCTGCGGCACTGCCTCCTCAAAGGCGGATGTATACAAGCATGCCCCAATCGGCGTGAACTCCGGACGGACGTCATGAGCTGGGCGGCCAGTAAACTCGCCTTCAGAGAACATTGCCGAGCGCATGATTTGGGACTACTTCTTTAGTTGCAAAGGCAATTGGCTGGCGTGCATTGGTCATCTGGGCAAGGCCTCTCCGGAATCTTTTAAGTTGTATCCTACCCTAGAAAACTGCATGCCCCAAGTTGACAAAGTAAATAAGCGCTTTGATTGTATGTCTGTGTTTTAACTTTTAAGCAGTGTGTGAAAAATTAGAGCCAAGTTTGGGGCCAGTTCACTTCGTTTTGGACTAGTTCTATTCCAGTTTGGAGAAATAAAAATCTATTACAATTTGCTGACTAGTTCACAACTCTGAACTGTAATTGGAGCAGTAAACTTTATTTTCAGCTCATTGCAAAGTACTATTCGCTTAAATGCGATAATCTGAAATGCTCAAAGCAGCACTGCTTTATTGTACTTGCAAGTGCGCCTGGACCTTATGTGGCAGTTATCAATTCGATTTCCTTGTCGTTTTTATCACAATCATGTCATGTGCTAAGTGCGTGGCACATTCACAAGATTTGGAGATAAGAGAAATTAGCCATTTGGAAACACAAACTGAAAATTATAAAGTTTTAGTGTAAATATTAAGAATTAGTCAAAATAGCTACAGCTAGCTTGCTCATAATGAGGGACATCATTGTAGTATTGCATGGCAAGTATGTGGGTCTATTTGACGTGTCAGGCCTGAGCTCTCTCTTTGTTTCTACTACTAATCACATTGAGTATTAATCATATTCTGCTATATTCACCTGTCATAAAAACATTCCTACACAAGGAAATGTTTTTTAAGTAAACCTATTTTGACATATAAAGTTCCTCTATGGAGGGTCGCTGATCTTCCATTATCGGCACCATGGGGCTCAGGGTAGGCTTAAAAGGCAGTGCCAGCTTCTTTCACTTCTGCTTTGTTTCCTTTTCGAAGCTATATCCATCGCATTGAGAGCGCTGACGGAGATGTGCAGGGAAGAACATTTGCAGAATTGTGCATAGCCTTGAAAGGGCCCGTCAGCAGGCTCCGACTTTTTTATACACCCAGTAAGGAAGCTCAGTAATTAAAAGAGTAGACGGTGATCACGTTTTCTGAATATTCCATTACTGTGCGCAGCGCAGAACCTCCATTTTGAAAAGCGATTCCCGTGCTCCTTTCCTACGCCTGACCAATCCTCCTTTCACATGCAGTGACGCAAAGTTGCTGATCGAGGACTTGACAGAGCACGTAGCTTGTCGATTGGTCTGAAACATTCACGATGATGGGCTACGCCTTCCCCTCCCTGTGAAAGAGAAGAGCGGCGAGGCCACGCAAGAATTTGAAACCAGCTGAAACCGGTGTTCTAACCCCTGTAACTTCGTTAATATACCTATTCACAAAATTCTTGTGTCAGCATGTTTACAAAAGCAAAAGTGCACATATTTCCTTTTATAGCAATTTTTGGACCCTGGGGTTGTTTACTGGCCCTTTAACCATCATTTTTAACTGTGAAGCCGTTTAAGTTCGAGGGTCGGCACTGGATTGTTTGCAGAAGTTGCGCCTAGCTTTAATATTAGCACCGACCACTTGGCAAGGTTCTGCTTGGCTTCGCTGAATGCGCCACCTAGCTAATTGGAGGAACAAAAGGTAGGGGAAAGAGAAGAGGAAAGAATCAGGGTAGTAGGAAGGATGAAGCGCAACATTTTAATAAAACAAAATAATATTTTATGACAAGGCGGGGTTCAAACATAGGTATTCATGGTCTGAAGGCAAGCATCGTAACTGGCTATCAACAAGCATTTAAACTGGCTATCAACAAGCATTTATGGGAACCATATGATCCCGTTGCTGTGGGTAAAATAATGAGAAAAATATAGAGACAAAGAAAAATAAAAACACTAGTAGAAACATTGGGAGAGAAAGAAAACGAAGAAAGTAAACTTTATTCAGTGCAGTGAGCCAATGGCACAGTCGTTCAAAATGGGCAGTGCCCTCGTCCAAGGTGCCATCTTAAAAGAGAGAAAGAAACAGTGGGAAAGTATAGCATAGCCATATGGAGTATAGTATAGCAATGAGGTTGAGAAGGGAAATGAGAAAAGCAAGTAGGGAAAGGAGGAGGGGAGAGAGTAAAGCATAGCATAGGCATGATACTACAAAATAGCAAGGAGAAGTGAGGGTGAAAAGGAGGGAATGGGGAGGTGGTGGTAACGCTACCAGCTTCGCTGTTTCTGTAGTTTTCGCTCCAGTAGTGCATAGCTGCCCTAATATTTTATCTTATTCTTGCTTCTTGCTGTTGATTCCTAGGAACCTCTGGAGAACCTCCAGGTGAGAGTCGATTACCTGCTGTCAAAACGCTTCTCACCGGAGGCCGTGACAAGGATTCTGAGCAACGCACCACTGTTTCTGGCCTACCGTGTGAACAGCATGGATTATCGCCTGGGCTTTCTGCAACGCGTTCTCTCCCTGTCTGGTGCTGAAGTGCGCCATATCGTTACACGTTATCCCAAGCTGCCAACGGGCAAGTTACATTCTATTGAGGTAAGAATACACCGTATCTACGCGACTGTGGGTAGACCCATTTAATCTAAATTTGAAATCCGAATTTTCAATTTTGACTAACATTTGAAAGACAAACTGGTAAGGTCAGTTTCGGCAGAACATATGAGAAAACAGGTGCATTTTGCCATGGTTACAACATTGCATTTGCATTCCAGCTTTGTCTGTAATGTATACAATATTTCATTGTGTGTAGCCCACACTCTGAGTCATGGCTTGTGGATAATTTTCCAGCAATGATCCCAGTCTATTGCCACGAAGCCAGCTTCTTTGCTGAGATCTGAAGCACTGCCATGAAGTCACATTTGCTCATTGGAATTCGGGAATTCGAGTTTTTTTTTTTTTTTTTTTAAGGCTACCAAACATGCTGCAGGTAATTGGTGATACAGTCTTAAAAATATTCAAACACTATCTACAAGAGCTTAATTTGGGCCAGTTGGTTCATCGTGGTTGTATTGTAGTAACAGCACCCACAGGTCGCGGGATCGAATCCTGGCTGCGGCGGCTGCATTTTCGATGGAGGCGGAAATGTTGTAGGCCCGTGTGCTCAGGTTTGGGTGCACGTTAAAAAACCCCAGGTGGTCGAAATTTCAGAGCCCTCCACTACGGCGTCTCTCATAATCATATGGTGGTTTTGGGACGTTAAACTCCACAAATCAATAAATCAACCATGTAGTAACGGCACGCCAACTGTAGGAAGAGACAAAATGAACAGGAAGACAGCACTCTTTCCTGTCCATTTTGTCTCTTCCTACAGTTGTCACACTGTTACTACAACACAATCAAACACTTCTTTTGTCAGGACAGAAACGAGGAGTGAGCATCAGGACAAGCGCTACTCCAGCTATAGAGTCAGCTTGTAGCCATTAGAGTAACTATGCGAACAAATTTGCTTTGCGAAATGCATTCATGCGTTCCCCTCCCTCCCCATAGTCATGCTTTTTAAAGGTTGCAGGGAGTAAACCTAGATTTGAGTCGGCTCTCACTTGTGTGTGTATGATATATATTTTTTTAAAGGTAGAGAATAAGATTTGGCTACATCAATTTAATTACACACCAAATATTGCTTTCTTGAAGTGGTCAAGAAATAAATTAAAGTGAGAAATAGTGAGTTGCGAATGGCTTGCAAAACCATTGTTTCAAATTGAATATCATAGGATGCTGTGTAGTTACTGAATTTATTTGTCACTTCTTGAAAGCAGTTATGGAAAACAGTTCCCAAGCCATGCTGCATGCCAATTCAGTAGGGGTGAGAGCTGGGCTAGTTGGTGAGATATCATTTTAACTGGTGTAATAGCGCAAATTTGACGGGGACACAGAGGACAAGAAGCGAGTGTCGTGTTTCTTCTTGTCCTCTGTGTCCCCGTCGAATTTGCGCTACTACACCAGTTCAAAGTGCATGCTATATTGCCAAGTTAGAAGCTTCACCTCAGTGCTCACCATCCGTTCTGCTGACACATTTATGTCCTAACGAATTGCTCATGAATGCTGCCAATGCACTGATGCTAAATACCAGCAGAATAAAGTGAAAGCATCTTGTGCTTTTCTACTTAACGGATTGAATGGCAGGCAATAGTATCTTTGTCTTGCACAAAATATGACCATGCTTCAAATATCTTTGGAGCATGTATCAAATATGCAAATTCGTTACACCAATGTACTGTTTTCTTGTGCATAAAATATGAGAGGCGTAGATTGTGAAGCTGCCTCTCCTCTGTGTAACCAAACTTTTGTATTGTGCTGCAGCTCTAGCTGCAGCACAATACATTTATCCTTTTTTTTTATCCTTGTATGATATGTCCACTGCTATATACATGTTTGGAAAATTTTACAGCATGGTATCTGTTGAACTTTTATCTGTGACAACAAGTCTTCTTTAGGGCTAGGGGCAACATATTGAAGCCAAAGAAAGCATTGAAGATGTTATTCGTAGTCTTTGAAGTGACACAAAAGTCAACTATTAAGTCGATGTTGATTGTTGAAATAGCAGTCCAGTAACCTCGTAGTGTTACTTTTGTGCCAAGTGCTTATTTTGAAATAAAATCACATTTTAGTGGTCCGCATCGGGTTAGTACACTACAAATTACCCACCTCAAGCAGAATGTCTCACGTCTTTGTTGCCATACACAACATTGCCCGGCTTTATTGCGCAGCCGCCGACACTATAGCAGCAGAACGAAACCACCAGGAGCCATAGCAACAACAATGGCCATTGAATAATTTCCTGCCATTGGCTCCGAAATGGCAGACGTGCTTGGCTCAACTGGGCTTTGCTATGGCACTACTTGTTCAGTTTAACTTGGCTAAAATTGAAATTTTGAACCACTCGCACCATTACCCATAGTAACATCCGATTGTTCTTTTTTTTTTTTTTCATGATTCACACAGAAACAAACAAGCAGCATTTTATTACGTCTCTTGATGCATGAAAGGCTTTTTATATAGTGCAGCTAGTTCAATTACTAGTGATTGATTGTAGGCTGTAACGCTGACGTCATTGGGATCATTTTGCGAATGTCCTATTGCAGTACATATGTTCTTGTGCATTTACCTTAACTTCTCAGTATGTAGGGCACTGCTGTTGATACTAGTATTGTCGTTTTAGACGACGTCATACATTGAGCTTTCACTCTTACTTAAATTGTTATTTGACTTTAGTTTCCCTTTAACTGTAGTCGAGTAAATACAGCATAACAAAAGAACAACTTGCCATCAATGTGAACTGAACCCATGACTTTCAAATTCGAAAGTTGTAAATTCAGTCCTCATCCGCGTCAAGTTGTTTCTTTGTCAACTTTGATTCATTTTCATTTATGTTATAATTACTACAATGCAGGTAATTACTACAAATGATACCCCATATATTTTCTTTGGCATCATTGTCTGTTGGCTTCATTAGGTTTGACATTTGATCATTCAATAACGTTAGCAGAACACATAAGGGGCTAGTTGATGATACATTCTTACTTAAAATATAGTAGCGCTACATTTGACTAGGACAAGATGGAGACGTCCTGTTATATAGCGTTGCAATATTTTAAGTAAGAACCAAGAAAGTTGTATCAGGCAATTATTAGGTTTGCGTAGCCAAGAAACTAGCCTCTCAAGCCATCCCAGCTGCGCTGGTCTAGTGGCCAAAGTACTCGGCTCCTGACATGCAGGTTGCGGGAATTGAATCCCGGCTGCGGCGGCTGCATTTTTGGTGGAGGCGAAAATGTTGTAGGCTCATGTGCACAGATTTGGGCGCTTGTTAAAGAACGCAGGACAAAGGCATCTCTCATGTTCCGCCAGTTAACCCGGTCCTGTGCTTGCTGCTGCCAATTTATACCCGCAAACTTCTTAATCTCATCTGCCCACCTAACCTTCTGTCTCCCCCTAACTAACCCACTTGCCTTCTCTGGGAATCCAGTTAGTTACCCTCAATGACCAGCGGTTATCCTGTCTACGTGCTACATGCCCGGCCCATGTCCATTTCCTCTTCTTGATTTCAACTATGATATCCTTAACCCCCGTTTGTTCCCTAATTCCCTCTGCTCTCTTCTTGTCATGGGAGAGGCCTTTGTTCTGCAGTGGACGTAGCCAGGTTGATAATGATGATGATGAAAGAACGCCAGGAGGTCAAAATTTCCGGAGCCCTCCACTACGGCGTCTCTCATAATCATACGATGGTTTTGGAATGTTAAACCCCACATATCAATCAATCAAGCCTCTCAAGCCATTTCTTGTTTTATTAGAAAGATTTAGTGCCAGGGACCCCCAGCTGCTTGCGTGCACATGCTCTTGCGTTCCTTTGTAATCTCAGCTGCACCTGTGAAGAATGTAAGTGAACGCAACAGTGTGTGCACGCAGGCAACTTGGAGTACCCAGCACTAAAACTCTCTATTCTTTCATTAGTGTTATGTATTACTTTTGTTGTCTCTTTTTATATGTCTGGCAGTGCAATGCCTTTTCAATAAAAGAGGAGATGGGCTTCAGCGTGGATGAAATGAAGCAGCTGATCATGGTTTGCCCGAAGCTCCTCATATCCAGTAAGTTGCCGTAATAGTTCAGTGAATTCTTATGTTGAGTGATGCAGAAGAAGAAAAAAAAAAACGAGGATTGATTCGACAAAGAAGAAAAGACAGTGGTTGGAGAGACGCTCAGCATGCACTAACTATAACATGCTGCACAGTTTATGCGATGTACTTCTCAAGTGCTGTTCTGCAATATTATTGTTAGCTGTGGATAAGTGTATGGACTGGGCAAACAGGCCACTATCTCTACGACAGGTTATGGAAACATAATCATCCTTGTAGGCTTTAAAGGGACACTAAAAGCAACCGTTAAGTCAATGTTGATTGTTGAAATTGCAGTCCAGAAACCTCATAGTGTTACTTTTGTGCCAAGGAAGTGCTTATTCTGAAATAAAATCACGTTTTAGTGGCCCGCGTCGGGTTAGCCCACTTCAAATTACCCACCTCAAGCGGAACGTGCCAAGTTACTGTTGCCGTGCACAATGTTGCCCGGCCTCGCACCTCCGCCTGACACACGAACCCTACAGTATTTTTGTGGGCGCCGCCACGTTAGCTGACGAAATCACACAAGAACCAATAAGTCCGCAGTTTTCAAGCAGGGGCGTAGCCAAAGGTGGCACACAAGCACGTCTTCCCCCCCCCCCCCCCGAAAATAATATCTGGCTACGTGCCTGCTTCCAAGAGCCTCGTAAGGGCACCTGGCGCAGTGCATTGTGTGTGTGTGGGGGGGGGGGGGGGGGGGGGGTCTATCCGCTCGTCTTTGTAAACTCGCTGCCTGGCCTTACTGCGCGGCTGCCGACACAGTAGCAGCAGAACAAAAGTAGTGGGAGCCACAGCAGCAACAACGGCCATTGAACAATTTTCTGCCATGGCCTGCGAGATGGCAGCTGTGCTTGGCTCAACTGGGCCCTGCTAGATGGCATGACCTGTCCAGTGCAACCAGGTGAAAATTAAACTTTTGAACCACTCGCACCATTCCCCCATAGTAATGTCCAGCGGTTCTTTTTTCCGTGAATCAAACAGAAACGAACAAGCAGTATTTTGTTACGTCTCTTGATGCACGTAAGGCTCTTTGTTTAGTGCAGCTAGTTTGATTACTAGTGATTAATTGTAGGCGGTACCATACCATTTACGATATCGGGATCACTTTACGAATGTCCCTACGCGTAGTGCTCGTGTTCTCTTGCGTTTACCTTAATTTCTCGGTAAATAAGACACTGTTGTTAATAATATTGTCATTTTAGACGTCATGCATGGAGCTTTCGCTATGACGAAAATCGTTATTTGACTTTAGTGTCCCTTTAAATGCTGAGCTAAATTTTTGCCGCCAAGGTTTTCAGCCAAATTGAAAGATTGGGTGCTGAAATCGATAGACACAACCTTCATTCCAGGCAGATACTATTAGAAAAAAAACAAAAAGCAAATTTAATTCATTTTTTACAGACCGCCGCATTTAGCCGGCTGTGCCTTAAACTAGAGGACGTGGCGTTACAAGACGCCGTAAGCGGGCATGCCAATAATTCCAGCTGTCGGTCGCATCTCTCCATTTGCTCGGCTCCCACTAAGGTTCCCAGAACCACTACGACAGCACTGGCTACAAACAATGCTCTCTGCTGGGGGAAAGCACTAGCACTTTTGTGGGAGAGGAAGAGCGAGATGAAAAGAGAGGAATTGCGGGATGAAAGGAGAGGGAGAGAAAGAGGGGTAATGACATGTGCACTCTGCATGTGTCCAGGAAAATGCGACGTTGTGGCTCACGCTCACGTGTGGCCACCGCACGCTGACGTGCCACCAAAAATACAGCCAACTATTCAGAAATGTGTGAAATACATTCTATTGATCGAAACAGTGTTGTATCGTGATAGAATTTAGATGTTTTCGTCAGCCTTTTCCATTTTTTGTTCGACATTGCTTTTAAGTACATAAAGGCATAGACCTTGAATCAAACTTCAGGGATTGTGTCTGCTCTGCACTTTTTGAAGACTTTGAGGTAACCAGTAGACAAAAGCATGTGGCGAAGGGAAATTCTTAAGGCTGCTTGATGGGGACATTTGCCGAACCATGTTTTCAGTGCATCTGAATAGAGAAAAGTTAGCACCCAACTCAAGTCATGCTCCTGTCCACAACTTTTTTTTTTATTTAGAGCCATTCACTGTTGTTGCCATTTACAAACGTAGCTGTTATGAAAATACTATCGCCCTTGTTCGGTTAGCTTTTACATAACTCTCTCATCTTGTTTTATCCTACGATTGTTGGCAATAAATCTAATCGAACACAGCACACATGGTGAAAGAAATACACCCATGGGAATGTTTTACTTCAGTAAAGGTTACCTCTATAAACCAGTAAAGGTTGGCTGCAAAGACATGTCTTTCCTGTCCACATCATTTCTTCTTTCCAATCCATTTCTTCTTTCCAATTTAGTTCAGAATTTATATTCCATTAGGGTCACAACAACTAGCCTGGCACTTATAGTTGGCAAAATAGTTGTTTAGCATTTGTATAGGATGTTCTGGGATCTTCGGCTTGTGTTACACAGTATAATTTTCACAAATGCCTGCTTGTTTTTTTTGCGTATCAATGAAAGTCCTACTAGGTGTCCACAGGCAGTATGCTGTGGGCTCTCGATGTGAAGAGGAGGGCCACGATCTTGGAGTAAACGGACACAGCAGACGCGGTTAAAACGAACCAAACAACACACATTTAATTAACTGCTTTTAGAACGACGATATTGTCAGTCGAATTAATATGACATCAGTCGTGTGATCAACACTCTAAAACAACCTTACACAAAATCACGCAACACTCAACAACATGACAAGCACAAGGACACACACAAGGCGACTTCGCCAATCCCTGACTCACCACTAGGGCCCCCGGCAGGCGGCCTGCGGTGCCGTCCACCGAGGACTGCCACAAGAGCCAACCGTTCGGGCCAACAGCCACCCGCCAAAGAGACTCGCTCATCTCTCGTGCGCCGCCACCTAGGCTCGCTGCTAGGCGTCACCGCCGGCGCTACCTATCTAACCATGATGATGATGGTGGTGATAAACGCTCGCGAGCACGTCACCTTCCGCTCGATAGTTGCGACCCGAGCATGCGACTGCGAGACACTTTGCGCCACGAGGCTGCAACCAACTTTACAAGCGTGTTAGCACTTCCACAATGCGAATTCTACGTAGCTATTCACGGTTGTTGATGGTTCTGCTGCTGACGATAATTGAATATGTCTCTGTGCTTTGTAATGGGTGGGTCTTTAAAACACCCACTTGCCCAATTGAACGAACTTTTATGTAAATTATTTTTTTTTCATACTGGTAAAAGTGGAATCAATGGTCTTGTGATCAAGTGCGCTGCTATAACGAAGAGTATTTTTTCTTTTCAAAGCTGTAACGCCCCTGCTTGCATGACTTCAGGCAAAGCAGGGCATTTCTGTATAAAGAAAAAAGAATGCACATGTTTTGATGCCTGGCGCGATTCCATGCTTCTGCCGCACAATGTATGATGTGCTAAGGTGACTCCTTAACCTACATGACATTCATAGACTGTTTTTTGCCAAAGCAGTTTCAACAAATCTCATGGATCCGTGGTAGAACACTTGCTTACCACACTGAGGGAGTGCGTTCGATTCTCACACAGATCCGGGAATTTATATGATTTTGTTTGCATCTTTCTCGATTTTCCTATCACAGAGAAGATTATCATTTTTTGCTCACAACAAATGACACCCACACCGAAATTTCTGTGAAACGAGCTTCTGAGTGCTATTGCATCAAGACGCAGGGCAATGCGAGCACATGGCGTAACTACAGAACGCCACTGCATGCTAACATCCAGCAACCTAGCCTCTAAATTGCTCATAAATAGCGAATGAAGGTTGCCTTGTATGCCTTTGTAGCCAGGAAGGAAATTGCTTCACAGCACTGTTTTGAGCACGATGCTTGTGTTTTAATTAAGAGGTGCTAAATGGACCACGAAACTAGGATGTTACTATCCTGTTGAACTAGTAGCACAAGTTTGTATCATTCACAAACATACTGAAGTAATATGCACAAAGAAGAAAGGCAAAATAGGAAATTTTTCGATTTGTATGTGACACACAAATGTTATTGTTTTCATCAACACCTTTACATTTAATCTAACATCTCCACTGTGCACAATTTCCTACACATTGCTTGGAGGAGTTTATTTCATTTCTTGTATGCCGTCACTTTTGAGTCAGATTTACATAGAAGCTCAGAAGGTTTATTCAGTCTAACACAGGGTAGTTGACAAAAGCCAGTATTCAAGAGAGAAATTGGCCTCCTAATAGGCTTGTTCGTGTTATGAAAAATATTTTTTCACAGCTGTCATGCTCCAATACTTTGTAGTACAAAGTCATTCAAAATGTTCATTCTCATAACGTTTATAAATACAACGCAAACACATGCTTACAGAGTACTAAAATATACTTGCAAGCTACATTCTCCCCCCCTTTTAGCTGTAGCATCTACGAATACATTCTTGTTTTTTTTTTTTTAATCTTATTGAACCAATTCATCTGCACAGTAACTGGTCAGGAGTAAGCTGTACTCACTTGCAAGAAAACTGAATAATGATGCTGAATTTATTGAAATGTTGTCATGTTCTCCCAGGCCGTGACAATATCGTCAAAGCTTTCACCTACCTTCACGAGGAAGCTGGCCTGAGCCATGCGCAGCTGATGCAATTTCCCGCCATATTGCGCACACGCGAATGCATCTACAAGCCTCGTCACCAATTTCTCGTCAAGCTGGGTCGGGCACAATATGACCCAAAGGAGCCCAACTACGTTTCTCCAAAAGCATTGGTAACTGGTGTTGATGCTGTGTTCTGCGAAAATGTTGCCAAGACTTCCGTGGACAAGTACAATGAGTTTCTAAGGACCCTGTGATGTGTGCAGCTTTGAAAATCGTACAGAAAAATAAATAGCGGCTCGAGATGTAGCCGAGTACAATGAGGATGAGCTCTTCAAGTCTTCTGCTTTAAATAAATGCTTTTAAATCAACTTTGATATTTCAAGGACATCTATTTTTTTATTCTTCTGGGCTTTTGCAAATATTACACCGATAGAAAAATTAAGGTCTTTCTATATGCTTGCAGCTACATGAAGAAGATGCATTCTTTGATCTGGTATAACCCAATGGTACACTTAGACGGTCATTTCAGTGTGCTACTGCAGATAACTTCAAGGAGTGCTGACACAACAATTTTACATATTGTTTTCTCCTGTGCTGTGGGTAGCTAACAAACCACTTATCACGGGTGGTATGCCTGTTTGCTTGAGCATGTGATGTTTGATTATTTAAGGGCGCTTTCATTTACAGAGCACCAAGTCAGGTTGGACACAGGGTAGTTTTAATGTCAACACATCTAACCACATGACTGCACAAAGCTGCGTGCACATCGCCTCGTTGCTAACTCTTTTTATTGAAGGCTTCCCAGCTGCTGCTATAATCTCCTGTGGGATGTTGCAAATATGCAAGGCCGCCCAAAACCATCACTTCAGAAGCAAGGACGACAGCCTTGGTACTGCCATGCAAGTCCACGAAAGAGGTACCTCCTCTTTTCATTGCTAAAGTCTGCTAGGAATGTGCGCAGAGATTACAACAGCGGACACAATTTGTGATGCAGGTGTTTGGTGGTTTACGTTAAAACAGTTAATGTAGATGTCACGAGTTTGGTTGTTTCACATGCAGTTGCGCGACACGTTAGAATTGATCTTACCATGTTCTAAGCTATATTAACAGTTAAAATTTCGTAGGTGCATGTGTGTCCTCACAAATATATCCCACAGGTTACCCGACGTTAGAAATTTTGAGCTAGTAAATTAGTGTTAACTGTGGTTTATTACCGTCATTTGGTCCTTTCAGACTTTCAGCTAAGTTTGTTTAAAAAAAGTATCTGAGAACGACGACGCAGGACTGATAGTTGAGAGTCGGTGTTTGTTTGTGTCTCTTCTCTTCGTCCCGTGAGTTTGTGCGCTGTTACTGCCCATAAAGAACAATGTTTTTATCTTAAACTTTTCCATTCACCTTGGACTAGTGCATGGCTAGTAGAGCCAAAAACACAAGCCAACATTCGAAAACAAAAAATGAAAAGATCCTTGGGTGAGAAAGTTGCTGAACCTTTCATATGTTTTCTCGTGCTTCATGTAAAGTCAAGCATATTACAGAAGCTTCTTTTAAGTTACTGCTTTTTTGAAGGCAGGTAAAGCAACAAATAATACCCATGCCACACGGGCAGAGAAGGTAGCATTTACCTCTGAATGCCTTCAGATTGAAGGTCATTCGCGCGGTGCCACACGAATGAATGAAATGGCATTCGCCCAAATGCCATTCGTCACCTAATGCCATCGCCAGTAAGCCATACTGAGCACCTTGAGAGAACCACCACCATCATCTTTTGCAAACGTCAGAAAAAAAAAAAAAAAAAAAAAAAAAAAAAGAAATGAAGAGGGAGAGTTTGGCAATGAACGTTGTAATGAACTCCGTGCCTATTCAAAAATGAATTTGTTGGCATGCTATGAAGAAAACGTTTAGGTTCACGCGGCCAAACCTGCACAATTTTCAACAAATGAATTCATTACATTGAGATATAAGACCTTTCTTTCATTTGGCAATGTTAAGTATGCACGTGCAGTTCACATGAAGGTTGCCTTGTATGCCTTTGTAGCCAGGAAGGAAATTGCTTCACAGCACTGTTTTGAACACGATGCTTGTTTTAATTAAGATGCTAAATGGACGACGATACTAGGATGTTACTATCCTGTTGAACTAGTAGCGCAAGTTATCATTCACAAATATACTGATGTAATTATTCACAGTGATTAACTGTAAGCTTTGAAGTATGTACATGTGCCCCTACTTATTGCAGCACCCTGCCATTCAAACTTTGTGTGGTGACAAACTGTTCAAGAATAAAGATATATAACAGCCATGTTTAATAAATTTACATCCCAACCAATTCTATTCACTCGTTTAAGGGGTGAGGCCACTGGCTCCGTTTATTCCAGTCTTCACACCATTAGTAATGGCCCGAATTATTTTGCTCAAGCAGTGCACGCATTTTGTGGAGTCCTCTCTCTTTTATTACACCGACCACTAGCAAGCTTTAGATCATTCTACGGAGAAGCCGGTTGACGAGGTCCTCTCGGTTTCCAAAGTCGCCACCCTCACTGTAGTGGTTAGTCTTCTTGCGCCATCCACCGCGGGGTGTGTTCAGCTTGAAGTGCCACAGGAAGTTGTTGGCTTTTTTGAAGTTGGGACCTACTGTGTAGATCTCGTGGATGAGGTCCTCAATACAGATGATGCCTAGCTTGCCTGCATGAACAAGATAATAAGTTCAGCTCCACACTTCTGATAGATTGATATGTAGGATTTAACATCCCACTCCACACTTCTGGTGGTTCTTATTAGTATCACACAATGGGGGAGCTTACAACGTGCAAGTATTAGGCCATTATGGGGTTACCATTTCAGTACTCTGCCAAATGGCGTACGATTGATACCTGCTGCCCTCCGGCCCAGTTTTACACAGGATGGTTCGAAATTAGGCATAATATGCCAAATCAGACTGATAGAAATGTCCAGCCATGTGCAAATTTTCCTCAAGTTCATGAGTGAGGAACGAGGAAAACTGCTCAGGCGCCGACTTAGTTTGTGCACATTTTTCTGACCAAGTCAGCTTCTTTTAGCTACTGACTGGTTAAGGGACATACTGTGCACTGATATGCAATAGAGGCCACACATTGTTGCAAAAGGCAACAAAATGCACAGCATGCTGCAGCAGCAGTGACATTCACATTCAAAGGCCAACTTTGAAAGTTTTGAACACCCTACAACACCTTCAAAGGCATACATTACAGTACTACAACAGTACTACACAGTTTCACTCGTGAGTGCATATTAAAAAAGGAATAACTTTGAAAACTTCACCAAACTGACCACTCTGCACAGTCATCCCCTTAGCTGTCTCAACATTGCAACGTCCCCATAGTATCTGTAGAAAGTGAAGCATTACGTGCCCTAACAACACGTGCTGTAAAGCTTTCTACCCTGTCATGCATCCCCATCCCACTGTCACAGTAGATTCATAATCACGAACTGTCTCAACAGAAAAAGCAACCTATTTTGAGATTTGCTACCGTTCCCAGTAAAGTCACGTAAAAAGTTGTTCCTGTATATCTCAGCTGTTTCGATCATGTCACTAGGTAGGGTATAATAAAATGTGGACTCTGGGTGGTAAAATATAAAACAAATACTTAAAAAATTAAAGTAGCGGCAAGACTTTTGGAATTTGAAGATCTCAACTGACCAAGGCGCTTCTCGATGACAGAGTTGTCAGACAGGGCCACCCTGCGGTCATCCAAGCGGCCAAACCCTCGCTTGTAAATCATCTCACGAACGGTCTTGAGATTGGGATAGCTGCAAAGATGATGTACACAAATGTCACATATGACACACAACAGTTGTGTTTCAACAAGAATTGCAAAATTCCATACACATAACCAGCTGATGTTATGAAAATAAGTTAATATATTCTTTTTTTCCTACCTAGGAATGCCACCACTTCTAGAAAGACATCACTAAGTTATTTCATACAGTATTTACACGGGATACTTTCATTGATTTCAATCCGGCTAATTTCACCCTATCTAGAGGTCCCAGTCAGTGCCCCACACACTTCCCGGGAGGGGGGGGGGGGGGGAGGAATTTATCACAGTAAAACCTCAGCGATACAACTACCAACTCTTGCCAATTTTGGAGTGATAAGATTTTTTGGCCGGGTATGATTTCGGCCAAAGCCCACTGGCTATCAATATAATGGAGAACAGTTGTTGCCAACAAATTTCCACCATGCAACATTTAGTACAAACGTATGCTACCATGCAGGTACAAACTGCCTATGCTTTTGCAGAAGACATGAAGTCCTAGTTGACAGATGGCGTTCACATACACTGACGTGTTCTGCTATCGCACTGTTTTTCAAGTGCCTGTCGCATCAATGCAAACCATGTCCTTGCAATGCAACATTCTATGAAAGGTGGACAATGACCAAAAGGGGAAGCGGACAGTCTTGGCAAAGGAGCTAGGCCTCACAATGTCAACACGCACACCTGCCACTCTCCTGCTTGCACAGGAGACTGAAATTTTAGGCAAACCTCCCGACTGTGCGGGATGGCCATTAATCTCCGGGAAAATATCCCCAATATCACCACACCATGGAATTAGTAACAAAGGACAGCAGTTATACAATTTTCTGCCCTTAATCTATCGTGTGCAAGGTCACTTTTGCCGCAATATTATGGTGTTATGTGGAAACTCGTAACAAGATTAGAAAGGTGCTGCAAGCTGTCAGGGCTTGCAACACACCTGACTCATCAATTTCACATGCACTGTTTATTTACAAGGACAAATATGATTGTCGACGCCTAAAAATTTTAATATTTATGCGCCCCAGAGAAACATAAAAGTGTATGCCAGCTTTCTTTTGTCACATATGAATTATCCATGTTTTCTGGTGAGGCAAATTTCGGATGACGCAAATACTTTTAGAGACCCCGCGTGATTTGCAGTCACCAAGGTTGTACTGTACTTCAATTTTGAAACTAGCCTTCGGTCAATAATTTAACTTTGCTAATTATATTACACTCATTCTAACCTAATGGTACTGCAGTATAAAATAAGCACCAGACTTTCGCAGTACTCGGGAAACAGTGAATGTGCCAAACATGCGGCACAGCTGAGGTGTCTGCCGCAAAGCAATGCCAGGCTACCACTGAAAAAACTGTTACTTAGGCTCGATTATGACATTGCATTCCACTCTCAAAGGAGAAGCTCAAGCACACTCCAAATTCGTTTTCTCCTTACCTCTTGTTTAAATTAGTTGAAAATTTATAAATTAACTAATGGCCACTTTAGTATCAAACAAGATTTAGCTGTACCTAAGTAGGAACAATTTATACCACAGTTCAACCCTTTCATAAGACACACCAGAGAGCAGTTCATGGTCCTTATATGCAGGGTATCATTTTCTGATCAACCCGTTTCAATGCAGTCACACTGGTGTCTCATACCCATTCGTCTCATATTCAGATGGAAGGGGTTTAACTGTATTACATTTAGAAACGGTTATAGTAACCCACTTAGTGAGAAGTGTCTGGCAATGCGTGACTTTCCCCCAAGTCCATGGAAGGGGAACGGGGGAGTTCTCGTGCGCCAACATGATTTATGCACATTTTTCTGACCAAGCCAGTTTTCTGTTAATCACAGGCTGGTTAAGGGACAGTGCATCTCGAATGCAAACAGCAGTGTCAAGTACATGTGTCACGCATGCAGTCATACGCTCCACCTGAAGCCACACCATAACTCCTCCTACTAGAGTGTACCAAACTTCCCATTGAGAAGCGATTGTTTGCCCTGGCATCAGTAAGATTTTAGGGGCTTTTACCTCAAGAGCAATTACAAACGCAAATGTGCTGGTGAAAGGAATTACACGAAACCATTTCTGAATGAAGATCCATCACTAAGGTATATTAAAGGAAACGTGTATACGTGTTCCCACTGCACGTGTTCTGTGGACACGAAGCACGGAAAATTAGACTGCAATGTCAAGTAGTAGGCGTGACAAACATTTTGGCAGTACGCACACAGTTATAAATGAAAATTCCTTCAACTACATGCCATGCAACTCTTAAATGAGCTATCAGCAGCATTCCTGGAACAGACGACGTCCGCCTATGAATCTGCCACAATTCCGCGCCACCGATTGGACTAGATGCCACAAGCCTTGGCTGAGAGCACATTTAGTTGTTAAACGGACTTACACAACAGAAGTTGTGATGGCACCAAACATAGCATCGTAAGTTACTTAGGACGCATGCACAACCGCTGTTTATTCAACTGAACAATTCCAGGTTCGTGATTGTGACACTGGTGGCCCAGAGAACAAGATGCACATGCTCTGACGCGCCGGCGTGGCTGTTCACAACTCGGCTACAGTGGCGCTGCCACACGGCAACTGGTGAAAGCGGTGATGTGGTGATAGAACGAAAACTTACTTTGCGACAACATGCGAACCGTGCCACATTATCGTCGTGTCCCACAACTTCTTGCGCGTGCGGGAACTGAAGTACGATAAATTTTGTTGGTTTAAGGCTGTGCATTTTTCTGCTTCAATAATGGCCGAATAAAAAGAAATCGCATGTACTGCGGGCTGTAATGCTCAAACTTCACTGTGAAAATCGTCATTAGCGTGCTTGGTTTTCTTTTCGACTGGCAACGAAAAAAGCAACGGGCTATCAAACTGCACACTGTGAAACTTCTCAAAATTGTTCTTACCAGCATTAATCCGAAATCGACTAATTCCTGATACGAAAATGTATTGCTTGTATATTTACTAAAACCACGACATGAGGAGACACGCTGTACGAGGACCTTGGGATTCATGTTCACCATTTGGGGTTCCTTAAAGTGCTCATCAATTTAAGCCATGGTTGTTCCTTTGCATTCAGTGTTATCGAAATTCTGCCGCAGTGGCCGGCAATCGAGCCCACCGATCTCAGCAGCACGGCACTTAGCGTACTGTGCTACCCACGGTGGGTAATCCCGAGTTAAACACACCCGCCACAGTAGTCCAGTGGCAGAGGCACTCGGCTGCAGATCCGCATGTCGTGGAATCGAATTCCAGCCGCATTTTCGATGTAGGTAAAAATGCTCGAGGCCATGAGTGTTAAGATTCAGGTGCACATTAAGGAACTCCAGGTAGTCGAAATTTCCGGAGTCCTCTGCTACGGCGTTTCCAATAATCATATGGTGGCTCTGAGATGTTGAACCCTAACTGTCAATATTATTAATCATGAGACAAATAGTTGAGTGCTCTTATTTTTTTGTTTGGTCTGCAATAATTAACGTGGTTAATACAACTACGCTTCTGTGAGCGAAAAAGTCGACAATCTCGCTACAAACGACACATGCCAGCAGCAGCTGGGCAGACGCTACTGTTGTTCGGGATCGAGAGCAAGCATGTCTAGGCCACTCAAATTGTAGCAACATGATTGATATTTGTAGTGTTATGCCAGCGTCCACATACGCAAGGAGCTTTTTCTACAACATTGATACGAAGATGGAAGCAATCTAGTAAACCGGTTGGGCAAAATAGCCTGCAGTGTCACATGTTTACCTGCGAAATGCCCTAGCATTGTGGTTCCCGATCTCGCTTGCTGTTTTGAATATGTGGCACACGGGAGCACGGCTTATTTAATTAGAAATTAGTTTGCACGGTGAAACAATTTTAGCCGATATTTTCATGCCAGCAATAACGCCACTACCGCTAAATGCCTCGGCATTCTCAGTCAAAATGATCGAAGTGGTAAAGAAACAACCGACAGCACAGGCGGTTCCACGTTACCTGTCTGTAGTGCTGGTTACCGTTGTGGATATATTCGGCCGCATAATAGCCGGACCGAGTGGACGACAAATATATGCAGAGTTTGACGAACGCTGGATGCCCGATCCGGCAGCTCAGTACGACGAAACATCACCGAATCGGCTCCTGCGCCAGCGCGTCATACGTCGAATACGGCGCAAGATCATACCGCATGTCCCGCACTTTATGCACTCAATCATGAGCTGCTTCATTCAGGGAAATTCCAGTGCCATGGAAAATTATCCTAGCTGTAAGCGGCGGCGACGGTGCAGTGACACCTGCGACGAACGCTCTGTGCATGCAGGTGATCACTACTACAACAGCCATTTTGATTTTCTTGAGGCGCCCCGTATAGTCACTGAACGTTGCGAATTGCCGGTGATAGACGCTCCTAAATCTGACTTTGGCAATATTTTTCAATGTTATCAGCATGGTGCAGTAAACCTGATTTGGCGCAGGGAGTGAAATCACTGAGTAGGGCTCTTCGACATTACTGAGCATGGCTTTGGAAACTCGTCTCCCTTTATGGCGATGACGAATCAAGCAGGAGCTGGGATTAAACAAGGAACAAGTACGAGGAAGAAAACGTCATGCACGCTCACCCCCAGGTGATGTAGGGCTCGGCAATCCTCAGCATGTTGATGGTGGCCTTGTTGAGCTTGACGAAAGTGGCATTGTTGATCTGTCGCAAGCGCAGCAACTGCAGCACTTTCCTCGGCTTGGGGCTCACACCGTTCACACTGCACACACATGGGGCAATGTAGTGACGAGTCTAGCAGCCGCCCACGTAGTCTCTTAAAAGATCACAGGTGCCACGGGCCAGTCCACTAAACACCTACTCCGAGTTATGCCACTACACGGGTGTCGAAATTACGCCCACTTAAGTAAACACCGGAAATTCTAAACAGGCAACCGCATATAAAGACGAATCGGATGCGCTTACCCCCTAATACGGATGACGACCGCAAGCTTGGGCTCCGCAGGAACGTAGAAATTTCCCTTGTTCCTGGCCACACGCTTCAGGCGAATCGTGTCACGCTCCTGTCTTCGGTATTCCTTGACATACTGCTCGGCCCTCTTAAAGATCTCGAGGCGCTTGGCACGCTTGGCCTGCACGAGAGAACAGAGAAGGGGATGTCAAAACCACGGCAGGGCACACGTGAACCGGCATCAAGTCAATACACGACGCGGCCTCTCACCTTCCTCTGCTTAATAGCATTTTCTAGCTGTTTAACTTTAGAGATGGCACGCTGCTTGCGGCGCTTAAGGAGGGTCTCGGGAACCTCCGGAAGCTTCTGTTTTTCGGGCTTGGCTGCTGTCCTGTGCAGAGAAAAAGAACACTCGTAGCAACCATCACTCAATGCGTGCCCGACGGACACTGATGCGGTCGTGTTTCTTTCAAGAACGTTTTCATACAAGCGCGGCAACAAATAATTACGGCAACTGACTCAGGTAGTTATTTATGTTCACGATACTGTGCGGATGACATATCGAGAACAAGTTTACACCACGATGTAGGTGGATTTTTCAAATACAAGCGACAGGCACTTACGTCGGCGCCATGGCTCCCTTGGGAAAGAACACATACGGGGATCAATGGCGCCCACCGGAAATCAAGTGTCCTAGTGGTCGCACAGAGAAGTAACGTTAAGCGAAAACTGCAAATGTACAGCTTCCGAAATTTTCAACGTCATTTTTTTTTCTTCGAGAAACGTTTCAAACAAATGCTCAGAGGCAATGTTTGTGCTGAAGCTATCGCAACTAAACGTGGAGAGATGGCGTCGTCGTCAAAGACGTCGCGGATATGGCGATTTCGATGGCGGTTGCGAGCGCTGTTGCTGGAGATGTGCAACCCGTGCGATTGTAAACATTCGGAGTAGCACAGCGGCAGCGTTGACTGCTGCTCTCTAGCGCCTCTGTTCCGCCGCATCTCCATCGTCAGTTCGCGCAGTGCGGACTTCTGTGCCGGTGCGTTGCGCACACCTGAGCGTTCACTCCCGTAAAAAGAAAAGAAACAAGCGCGTCGGCAGTATTTCGGCGTGCATCGAGCGCCTTGCCTCGGAGAGCTTCGTCCGCCTCGGCGCGGCGCCGCTAGAGCTCCTCGCCCGCCGCTCTCCATGCTGCGTGCGTCGGCGCGACCTTGACGGCTTCGCCCCCGAATCGGAGAGACAGCGACGAGGCACCTGGCATAGTGTGTGCGCTTGATCGCCGACGTCGCGAAAAGTCAACGATATATTATGGTGGCTACTGTGGCTCCCGCAGACAAAACTATGGTGCTGCAGCGGCTGATCTCTGTGCGTCGTCGTGAGCGGCTCGACGGATAGACATCCCGGAAAAGAAACATTGTCTCGCGGATCTGCGACGGAGTTTCGACAACTATGTCTTCGTCGGGACCGACCCGTCAGAGGTCGTTCCGAGACCGGTTGCACGGCATCGGTCTCTCCTGGCAGTAAGTACGACTACGCTGTTACACTTTCGCTCCGGCGGCACTGTTCCTATGCGCGGGTCGGCGTTGCCGTAAGCCTAATGAGCTAGGTGGGTCCTGCGCGGGCACCCGGGCAATGTCGGCGCGTAATTTTACGACAGGACGTTGACGCCAGTTGCCGTCGCGTGACTGAATCGAGCATTCTCGCGCTCTCTCCCTCGCTCGTGTCCAATCGCTGCGTTGACGTTTACGGACATCGCGTCAGTGGAGAATTCCCGTGTCGGGACACCCGAGAGCGTCGGGCTGCCTGGAAGGCGGCGAAAACGAAACTTGGGGGGAAAAGGCTGCGAAGTGTCATTCCGAAGTGTCGCGAGCCATCTTGCCCATTTTTTGGTGGCGTCGTGCTTTAGCTGGTGGTGCGACATAGAAGCGATGAACATGACGCCACACCGTCGCTGCACCGCTGGGCATGGGCCTATGCGTTTCTGTTTCATCGGGGACGGTGTCTTCCCCTGCTGATCGGTGAGCGTTGCGGCGAAGCTTTCTGCAGGGGCGAGGTAATACGCACCTTGACCAGCAAGCGTGGGTTTGTGGGCGTTCTTGTGGCGGAAACTTTGGCTTTCCGCGACCGTGTTTCTTTTCTTCCCGTGAATATATGTCGGTAATAAAAAATATACCATTCTGTCTTTATTTTCTTATTTAATTTAGATGTGGGCGTGCACTTTCTGAATTACACACTAGACTCAAGTTTTGTTCTTAACTTTTAACGACACATATCTGTTGGACATATGGTACATGCGCAGAAACGCAAATCTCTTATCAGTCTGGCCCACGTGTTAATTGCTTGTGACCAGCAACAGCTGTGTAACGAAAATCAAGCCAATATCTGGGCATCATTCGTGCTGCGCATACATGTATTCTGAACTTGCGCAGCTCTTGCATATTTGTGCGTGGAGGACCCTTTCGTATCAAATGATTTCCTTGCGGCACAATGTCCAGTAACTAGAAGTAAACAAACGAATACTCGGTGGTCTCGGTGATATACAGGGTGGTCTCGTATATTAAGGCTGAAGCAGTCGCTAGTAGTAATCTCAAGTTATAAGAACATCGGTTGGCGGTGACAAGCGTGTCGCATAGGACGTCAGAGAAGCGTGTGCTGACATAACACTGGCGTGAATCTAAATTATTCGTTCAAACGAATGGGTAGAAGTGTCAACACAAAGCACGACAGTTTTTCTCAAAATACATTGACGCTATAAAACAAAAAAACACCAGCCACTATCTGCAGCGCCCACCAATAATGCTTTGGTTTCTGCGTTCATACTTGTGCGTAGTATCGAGTAAGAAAGCCTAATGTTGCGCATATCTCGGGCAAAACATCAACACGTCAATTTACTGGGGCGTGTTTCTTTACACTATAAAATTCACACATGAACTAATTGTAAGGAACGTAGCATTTATTACACTAAGCTGACAATGCAACGCCTATGCACGAAAAGGCGGGTGTTTTTTGGCACTTAAACGCAGCGCCCCCAGAATCCCACTCACCGATTTTCTCGCGCAGAACATCAAATAAATTCACTCTCTCCAGACGGAAGACTGATATGTGCGGTTTAACGTCCCAAAACCACCATACGATTATGAGAGATGTCGTAGTTGAGGGCTCCGAAAAGTTCGACCACCTGGGGTTCTTTAACGCGCACCCAAATCTGACCACACGGGCCTACAGCATTTTCGCCTCCATTGAAAATGGAGCAGCCGCAGCAGAGATTCGATCCCGCGACCTGTGGGTCAGCAGCCGAGTGCCTTAGACCGCCGCGGCGGGGCAGACAGACGGAATACTATCGTCATTCGACGTTTGCAGTAATGCACATACGGGGCCAATATTTTTAAAAGGTGCATCGTCTCACATTACTCAAGTATTCGATTAATATTCGTGTCGCATTGAATTTTCTGTTCGGCTCGTTATATTAACGCCGTGCGCACGCACCTTTTCGCCAGTTAAAGATATTCACTGCGGACACTTTGTCGGGTGCTTTTTAACTCAATATATGAAATGCAACGCATTGTCGCTTTAATTTTTTTTAATTTGCTAGTTTTTTTGCCATTTTCATGATGCTACGTCGTTCTAAAGGGAGCACGCTGTTTGGCTCATGTTGGAGTTCTTTTGGTCTATGCAAACCGAACGGGAGGCACAAACTATGAAACGACTAACCAATAAGTTGATTTTTTTTTTTTTTTGATAGCGGTAGCGTCTTTCATAACCATATCGCGGTTTTAGGACGTAAAACCCCAGACATTATTATTGATAGCGTTTTGGCACCGCTCTCATGTCATCAGCTGTTTAGTCAAGAGCTGAATGATGGATTAGGTGACCATGCTTAGTACGTTTCTTGGCGCTCAGCGACTTGTCCTGTAGTCCGCGTATAGACCAAAGCTTTTAGGTAGTCGATGCTGTTGTTTTGTTATACGCTCAGATTATTCGCGGAAAGCGACATCCTCCATCATCATTATACCTGTGTGCGTGTAAGTATAGGAGAGACCATGTCTCGTGTAGCCAACGTGTCGGCGGTGAAATCTATGCCACCGCGCTATAGCTTATATCGGATAGGGGGGGGGGGGGGGGGGAGGGTCCTGGCCAATATTTACTTATGGTCTTGAGCTCGCCTCTTACACGTAATGACACGTACGAAACTCTGCTCAATCGATTAAAGTAGAAGTCTAAATTGGGAACTTCATTCTGTGTTGCACCGAATGTAAACATTCACTGATATATCTTGATGCGCGATCCTGTTGACCGTTCGTCCCGAACACTGAGGATGACCGTACAATCAACTTTTCGAATCGAATAATAGCTATAAGGAACCTTCAGTTGTAGAGTATAATACTGGGTGTTTCACCTTCAACCCTGTTGAAATAAAAAAAAAAAGTTTGTGTCTACGCATTCGTATTATTTTATACAGCTTATTTACAAGTACTCAAAAAGATATGTGGGGTTTAACGTCCTAAAACCACCATATGATTATGAGAGACGCCGTAGTGGAGGGCTCCGGAAATTTCGACCACCTGGGGTTCTTTAACGTGCTCCCAAATCTGAGCACACAGGCCTACAACATTTCCGCCTCCATCGAAAATGCAGCCGCCGCAGCCGGGATTCGAACCCGCGACTTGCGGGTCAGCAGCCGAGTACCTTAGCCACTAGACCACCGCGGCGGGGGCAAGTACTCGAAATTCGTGCACTGCCGTTCGATAAAGTACGTCCAATCAACTGAAGAACTTGTAAACATGTAGCCATTGATTTCAGTTGTCTAGTGTGCATCAACCGTTACATTCACAATAACGAAAAAAAAATAAGGAAAAAAAAACGCAACGTTACGTTGGTGTAGATGGGCGTGGGGTGTTTAGTTCGGTGGGCGAAGAACGTGCGATGCGGCAAAGTAAAACTGTGTGGTAGAAGGTACGCTGAAATGATTGAGGATGACGTTTGACTGGTTTTGCTTTAATTCAGCAAGACATATGAACGCTTTCGTGATCATGTCAACACCCACTGGCGCATGCCCAAAGAGGCACTGATCTAGCGGGAGGATGGGCGGTGGTGGTCAGATTTTTCTCGAAAATCGTCAATTTTGCATGTGTACATTACACAAACAGGCACGCATCGAATCGCGATCGCACCGACACACACAAAGTATGGTCGAACCTCCCACCCTCTACTGAAATGTCTGGCTACCCGACTGCAGAGAGGATCCATCTTGCTAGGAAGCGCAGCCACTATTACAAAGAACACGCAACACAAGCGCTTACCAACACAAGCGCTTAGAGAGGAGTTCGGAATGGTAAGCCCCCCTACCCCCCCCCCCCCCCCAAATTTTCGCGGAAATAAATTGCTACACTCCCTGGCAACAGCCATTACTCCCGTTTCGTGACGTCAAAACGTAGGAGGCTGTCACGTGGGAACTGGACAAAGCGACGTTTATTGCTCACTCCGGCTCGCTCGGCACAGTCTGTAAGCAGACGACCGAGCTGATCTGAGCGAGAGCCGGACCTTTGTGGTGTCCTTTTACAATGCGACTGTCGTGAGCGTCATGACGTCATGAAGGGTATGACACCCATGAAACGAAAACTGAAAAGAGGTTCGTGGATGCATGCTTCTGAACTTGGTAGTGTATATTTATATTTCCTGGATATCCAACGTACGGAACCGTTATTTATTTATTTGTTTATTTCTTTATAATACCCAGAGCGCCCGTGTGGGATATTAGTGTAGGGAGGAGGGGAAAAACGAATACATAATAGGGTGTTTTGAATAGGGGCCCCAAATACCTTTGTGTATGCACGCTTTGGGTCAAGCAGGAGCGATGTGTTTTCGAATAGGGTCTGCGGCGCTTTGGATACTCTCCCGATTTTGGTCACGTCACTTCAGTGGGTGCCATCACGTTTGTCTAACGCAAAGCTTTTGGGGCAGGCTTTGGAGCTCCCGCTAAATTCGAGAAGTAGCGTCCCCAACGCGAAATCCTAACGCGGTTTAGGTTTCGCACATGCGCGGTAGCCTCGACGCTATTTCCTTAGGGCTCAAAACTTTTGGGGCCCCTATTCGAAAACTCCCTGTTAGCGTCGACGTCTCACAAGCAGCACTTTTTAAAGAAAGAAAAAAAAATTAAGCATGTTTGAAATTGCTACGTGCGTTCGGAACTATTCTTCACACAGATTCCAACGCGCGCCCTCCATCTGCGGAATTTTCGCGGAGTAACTCGGGTGGTGGCAGCTCGCGTCGCAACAGCGAGCTGTCTTCGCGCCAGTGTCGATGAAGCCAGGCCGTTTCGACACCGCCTGCTGCAGAATGGTTGAACGCCTTGGCCGCCGAAGTGGCTCAATGAAGTGGGGAGACCGCCGAGGGTCGTCGTACGGGGCGACGTGTAGCGGTTTTCGCTTTTATTTTGTCTTATTTCATCGACGAGGAAGAAAGGGCGCCCGTGTCAAGGCTGACTCGGAGCCCTGAGAAGCGTGCCGGCTAATGGGAGCGG